TAAATAAAAAAATAAATATTTTATAAAAAAATTATAAGATAATAATAATTTAAAATAATTATATAATATATAAAGTAATATAATATAATTTTTTTGTCTTAATATAATAATAATTATAATATAATAAATTAAAAATTAAGAATTATTATATAAATTTTAATTTTATAAATTAAATTTTTTATAATTAATAAGTATATTATATTAATTTTTAATATTTTAAAAGATAAATATTAAAAAATTATTAAAACTTAGAATTTTATAATTCTTTTTAAGAATATTTTTATAAATTTGATTTTTAAATATTATAAAAATATTATAATCAACATATTTTTAATTTTTTAATAAATATTTTAATTATATTATAATAGATTTAACTTTTAATACATAAATATTTATTTTTTTTAATATAACTTTAAAATAAATATAAAAATTATTATATTTTTATAATTATTATTAAACTCATTCTAATTAATATATTTTATTAATTTAAAAAATTATTATTATAATTAAATTTTTTAATTTTTAAATAAATATTTAAGCAAGTTAAAGTTAAAGTAAATAAAGATTTAAAAATAAATATTATTCAAATAATTCAGTTTATTATTAAGACTTAAAAGAAGTTTTAATCTAGTTCTTTTAGCTAACATTATATTGATATTTGTAATCTTTAAATATATTCATTAAAACTAATAACTCAATATTTAATAAACTTATTATATATCTGATATATTTTATCTTTTTAATATAATGAATAGTAATAAGTTTCTTATTATTAAATAATGAAATGAAAAGGAGAATAATAATATTAAAACTATAATTAATAGTTCAGTATTAAATATTTAGAATTTGTTCAAATATTTTTACTTTAACAAGAGAATTCAGATGAATAATTAAAAATCTATTAATACTCTCAAAAAATTTATTAGAAGAAAAATAGTTAGTTCATATTGATGAGTACTTTAAATAAAGAGAGAATTGACTTTATTATGCTTATAACTCTGTTCTATTGGTTGAAATTACTATTTGATCAATTTATTATTGTAATTTCCTAAATGTACATCCTCTTTAAATATATGTCTATGATCAGTCTCCAAGAGAATGCACTTAGAAAGGTTTGACTGTATGTGAGTTTTTTGTTTTAGCTTTTAAAGGAACTGAATTACCAATAATGCTTCCATATATGCTAACTGTCGTATTCTAAAATGGCAAGGAGATGATGCCATATCTCAAGGATATTAGTGGACTACTTTCCTTCTTGGAAATTCAAAGTCGACTGGAGAAAAGTAATAATTAGTTATATATAAGTTTAGGGATGCTGGGAAGAAAAAAGAAGTTTTGTTTTATCATCCTCTTTAAATTACTGTAGATGGAACTTTATAAGTAAATATAGTACGGTAACACGTCGTATCTTGTATCTTAATATAGGCGGAATATGTTGTTCTTGAGCCTGTTCTGACTTTTGCTCGAACATTATTGGCACCATACTTTAACATAAAAAGACTCGCAAGTCAACCGATGCACCCAAAAAACATAAGAAATATTCCTTTTTACATTGTTTATCTATTTAATAATCAATTTTTAATATTTATAGGCACATTAAAGAAAACAGATATGAATATTTTTGTATATCGATATGTCAAATAAAATTTTTAATTTCTATTTAAAAATACAAAAAGTAGTCACAAACTTGACGAATCTCAGTAAAAAATAGATTAGGTAAAGAAGGCTCAAGATTTTCACTTTTAATAACCTCAAAAAAATAATTATTCAGGAAAACTTTTGTATTATTATGGGAATGTCAAAATGGTCATTTTATTTATCCCCGATCTTTCTCATGGATTTTTCTAACTTTATGTTCATTAGAATTTGAACCTAAACTCAGAAATAAGATGGATAAAGAGAAATGTCCCAATTTATCCTAATCGTAACAAGTACGAATGCTGTATTGAAATAATCCTTTGTTAATTAATATGTCGTACGCATTGATCTTCATGAAATTTAACCATTGTTCTATAAATAATCAAAGAACCTAACAAAGGAATTTATAATATTATGGCGACAGAGCCAACTTGTGGGGTCTTCTTTACTACCATTTACATGTATACATTTTTATATGCTCTCAAAGATAAATGTAGGTACGTAATAGTTTTTTTATGAATAATATAATTGCGAATATTCAAATTTTTTACTCGACATTTTGACAAAACATGATTTCCTCAACTAAAGTTTTTTAATGTGAGGGGTGATTTTTAAATATTATAACAAATAAACCCAAAAAGTTCAACAACAAACAACTTGGCTGTCAAATTCTCTACATCCTTCCAATGACGTATATAAGTTAGAAAATCCTATTGAACATGCCGAGCTTGAATGTTATTTGGTGCCAATTGCTTGATTTTTGAGCTTTAATGAAAGTCTATTATTGTTTTACATTTTATTATAAGTATTTTTTATCAAAAAAATGTATGCGAGTATCTTAAGGACAACTTCCGAACGTTTTTATGATTAACTGTTTTTTGAGCAAATGTAATTATTGAAAAATAACACGGTAAATGTGATATCATCTTATAAAAAATTCTGTTAAACATAGTAATAACTTTAATACAGTTATAAAATGAAAGTGAAGGCGCAAAAACTTTTTTTATGTACCCAAAGAAAGATGATATGTTAACAATGATAAAAATGCTTATTTACTCTGTATCCATAAAAGAATGCTGACGTATATACAATATAATAAAAATGAGAATTCAATACAATATAAAGAAAACCTTTTAAAGTGGCAGCGGTAAAATTTTCATCGTATATTGCGCATCTTCAAAAAAAAATTGGCAATTCTAATCTTATAAGCAAAAATTTAAGAACCTTTTTCTAAAAATAAATAATCAATTTGGGCGCCAAACTGAAGTTCTCAGATCTAAATTATAACCATCACGTAATTAGATAGGGGACAATGAACCTCTTTAAAATATTTTTGCGCATTATCTATTTTTTTTACAGAAGACCTCAATAAACTTCCTAAATAATTTTCGATTCAAGTGTCAATTGAATGATTTTTAATTCAAAATTATGATGTGATTTGATCCAAAAAAACAATTTGCACTGATGACGATCGTTAGAAGATAAAGTTATTAATTAATAATGCTACGAATCTCTTAAATAATTCTTTTCGGCCGCTGTTTTTATTATTTATTATTATTTATTATGTTTTGGTCTTTGTTGTTAATGGAACAGTGCAATTTTTTATTTTAGATTTTTACCAACAATGGCAGATTTGTTGCACAAAACTTATAAACCGAGATTTATTTTTTACAATATTTATGGAAAAGAATAAATCTAACTAAAAATCAAATCAAATCGACAAAGTATATTGAGTTTTCATTGAATTCATATTTTATATTTTCGATACTATTTTTCCTGTTTAGGCATTCATGTAATCCCCGCCAAAAATGTCCACTTACGCTTATATATGAACTTTTTATGAACTCAATCAGTTTTTTCAAAAATTAATAAAGCTTACGCATTGTCGTTATATATGCCAAATCTTGTTATCAATTGCAAAAAAACGAGTTTAATTTGAAAAGTGCCACGTGAACTACAGAGTTTCGAACAGTTATAAAAACACATCAAAAGAAATGGGTAAAGAAGCATCACATTTCAGCCTTTATTTAATAGACATGACTAATATGACTTTCACAGAGAAGTCTCTATTAGAGAGGATTCTCCCAGAGATTCAATACAACTCTTCTAGTACTTATGACGCTCATAATATTGGCCATTATATAAAACCAAATTTCATTCATTTATGGACCGATTTCTATTCAGAAATAAACCTTGACAACACAAATAGCATATATTCTTCCCCAGATCCACCAAATTCCTCAGTAAATGACAAGCACGACCTCGACTTTATATTTAAGACACAAATCCTCGATGTAATAAAATCATTGTCACGTTGGGATGATCTAAAATTAGAATGCGTTAGAGAAAATGTATCTTTATTATCATCCGGATTATTGGCATCTTCTACGCCCGCGTCTTCTGATGACGAGCCACTATACTCAAACACAGGTACAGTTGATTGGCATCTGTGTAACAGTGACGGCGCTGTTTTGTTACCAATCGCATTGAGGAGCAAATGGGTAATTTCTGAAGAGTCACCCTCTGACATTACTTATCTTCGCGAGCATGTAATTCAATTATTCGATTACATGCTTCAAAATGGCCTTCAATTTGGCATTCTATCGACATACGAATGTACATGGTTCTTAAAAAGACCCAAAGACGTGCCTTTGGAGTTGTACGTTTCGGAATGCTTCAAGCGGACTAATGTAAATCCTACAGTTCTTCAAGCATACAATCTTATGGTTCATATGGCAACGAATGATCCAATTTCTCCCAGATGGTCACAAATCAGGTAGTCATTTTATAACATTCTGATTTAATTGATCCGAACATGCATTTTTCTAATAAATGCTTATCATTTTACATGTATTTAGCATTGAATTAAATACATGTCAATCACCACATTCTCATATACAGACTTCGTCAACTGTTTCCGGCGTACCGAGACTGAATCCAGAAATCACTTTAATTTGGAGCAACATTCACTGGCTTTCCGACATGGGAAGTTCACGACACGTGTTCCATATTTTTTACAACGAAAAACATCTTGTGCTTAAATGTCAATATGAAAGTTACGAGCAAGGCGCTTCGGTGTTAAAGAATGAAGTTCGGGCATATAAAGCATTGCAAGAGCTACAAGGATGCTTCATTCCGCCTTTGATATTATACGGCACCACTTTTGATGTTCCTGGCAACGCAATTTATTATTTATGCACAAACTATATTTGGCCAGCGCCAAACGCTAGATTATCGAAAAGGCATAAAGAGAACGCCATAACAGCGGTCAAAGCCATTCATCGTCTAAAAGTTTTGCATAATAATATACGTCTCGAAAGTTTTATCTTGGGAGCTGATGCAGATAAAGGCGAAAGGCTTTATGTAATTGACTTTCGATACGCCAAAATTGGAACTAGAGGTGGTGATGAAATAACTGATTTTATGAGAGAAGCTGAAATCAATATGGTTGCTGCATTATTCGACTCGTTAGATGCGTAAAACTTTATTAAATGCTTTGATTATCTTATGACTTAATGCGATTAAGAAAGTTAAATATGATTCTTAAACTTTAAAATATGTATTTCTATATGAATGCGTGTGTGTGTTAAGATTTCTAATTCATCTACAAACTTAAATTTAAGCCTTATTTTTTAAATTTTTATTATATTTTTTATGAATTTTATTTTAGTTAATTTTTTGGAATTTATAAATTTTTTTATTAGCATTAGTAAAGTAAAACCAATCCGACGATCAAAAAGCATTAAGTTTAGTTTATCCCTTCTAATTTCATTATATCGATATGTATTATTTTTAATTTAAGGAATATATGTAAATAAATATCAAATTTTATTTCCAAGTAACGTTTCATAAAGAACACAAAGTTTTTATTTGCATCCCCGGAAAAAGTTTATATTGGTCAAATGATTCCAGGTTTGAATTTTGTGTTTACTTGGCAACAATACTAAGGTATAGCAGTTCCTCAATCTCGTTATTGATTGGTATTGTTCCTTGGGATCCGTGAAAGATATTGTTATACATTCTCCTTTATTCTTTCTATTAATAGTAATAACTATTACAAAAAATAAGGAGCTGAAACTTTAAAATTTTGTCCACGTTCATTGAAATAAATCATGTGATTGCTGATCATTTTATCCGTTATACATGTTTGCACTTCGAAGTTCTAACACAAACTTTATTACAAAGAGGCTCAAAGAAGTTTTTACTTTGTATAACAAATAAAAATGTTGCCAATTGAACGAAAATTGGCTTATTTAATGCATAATCATGTAGCAAATAGATTTAGATAATTTAAAATTAATGCGAGCAAAAGTTTTGTTAAAATCTATGTGCATATACAAAATGATAATCTAGAATGTGCTATGATGTTAATATATGATATCTGTTACATACTCATACTTAAAATATACTCATTCTATGTCATTAATTGTAAATTAAAGTTTAGAATAAAAAATACATAATTTGTTGATAAAATAAATAGAATAAATGAAATTTTGTTAAGATAAAAGCTATGATCTGATTGAAATTGTTTAAATTGATCAACGAATCGCCTAAATTATGCAGATATAGTAAAAATCTATTTTTGTATTAAGACTTAAAGATTATTAAAAGTTGCAGCGTAACCTTGTTGAGTTTTTTGTTGGTTTATTCTAAAAATTCCGAAAGAAACTGTCAACTATGCCTTATTCGTTTTATTGAAGAGGGAAGATGGAGGTTTTTTCTTTTTCGGGCTGTATTGATATTCTGGAAAAAGACGCTGATGTCCCAATTTTGCTTCTTCTGCCAATACACTGAAGAATTTCTTTACCCGTGGAGAAGCTTTGCCCCAAGCTTTAGATGCTTGACTTGAAACTTTTGCAACAAAGTTTCGATCTCGCTTGCTGTCACCGACAGCGACGATGCCCGCATTGAAATTCCTTCTGAAGATCATGAAGGAATTAAGAGGACGAGGTATCCTTTTTGAAGTCCCTTTATTAGGCATGACGGGAGAAATTAATTGCTCGACACTCAAGAATAACTCGCATGGAGGCGTTTCAAAGGATTTATTCGAGTATGTGGTCTTACTATCGGTGTTAAGCACAAATGAGAGGTCGGTGCTCATTTTTCAAGCTAATTTTTAATATTAGAATTTTCTTTGGAAATATTTGATTTGATGTTCCATTCGGTTGATTTATATAAGAAACTTCGCTATAATTGAGGATCAACCTGGAATAATATATGTTTTAGAACAGTGTAATATGTAATAATTTGTTCAGGCGAAAATTATCATTAGTTGATGCGCCTTCTCTGCCTATTATTCTTGTATAAATAAAAATGTGTCTTTAAACATGATATGGTTGCTACCATGTAAAACGACCGATTTGATAAACAATTAATATCTCATGCAAAAAAATTTTGACATAGCCGATAACAGAGCAAAAAAACAGTTGCAAATTAATATTTTCGAGACAACGACCAATTTACTAAGTCTGGTAAGGATGCGAGGTATTTGAAAGATTATATAATTGGGTAATTTTCACAAATTAATTTCTCGTTGAAGGTGAGTTACGGACGATAATTACATAAAACTCGCATAAATGAGCTCATGATCGTTCAATACCACTGTTTTTCAACCGAGAAGATAAGCGAGCTCTCTTTTCTCTCTTTACCAAAAATGTAGACAATGTCGTTTAAAAATAAAATTTAATATATATCTGTGTCATTATGAGCAGTAATTTTAGCATATACCCGAAATGTTTGTACCATTTAAGATTACTAAGACAACGACAAGCTGATACATATAAGGATGACGAGAATCGTTTCTGCTTAATATGATCATCAATTAGCCAGGTGGTCTTACTTGCATATCAATTTGTTCTTATGTATACGTATTGCGGAAAACCTATTCCCTAAGATCATAATGATAACGATCTGTTTAATATATATAAAATATTTTTATATATGCATCTGCTTTTATATTACGACCATGCGACCCAGCTTTGACCTAATCTGTAATTACTCTTTTCCGTAATTTTAAAACTCAAATATAGCAAGTTTACAATAATGCAGAACAGATAGTATTGTTTTATAGGTTTTGACGAAAGTTTCTCAATGTGCAAGTTATTTTTATACGTTCCGATTTAATCTTAAGAACTACGCCAATTTGAATTCAAACTAAATGAATCTGAAACGTTATCAAGAAAAATATACCATTTAAATAATTCAATATTAAGGAGTTTCATTTCGAACAATATTCAAATACGATTTAACCATTGTTTTTATTTATTACAAAATCAGTTTTCTTATGTCACAACACATACACAGCATATACATGTGCATACAATTCATGCATTTGTTTGTAGATCACGATTTTTATTCTACGGTTGCTTAGGCTTAGCAATAAATTATCGAATACCATACGCATACTTATTTTTCAATTAAATTTGATTATTATTCCTTAATTTGATCTTAATTTTTGTTACTTTATGTTCCCAAAAATGGTGAATAAATTAAATGATAAAAATTTATTGTTGATTATGTTTAGTATTATCATCGTCGGTGTTATCATTATTAAGACTCCATTGATACATAATATTTGACAATCTTCCGGAAGGAAGAACATACATATTTTCCGAATCTGGCATTGTATCATATAAAACGTTGCCATTATTCTGAATATTCCAATCTTGAAAATAGTCATTGGTTTGATAATGTTGAAAGTCGATAAATGATGCCTGCATATGAAAATGTTCATTGTTTTGCAAATTATATTCTATTCCTAATTGAGGCATAAAAGTGTTTGTGTCGGTAATAAACGTCGAATTTTCTATAGTTTCATCTTGAGCTTGGTAATTTGTTGAAATATCATTCTGCATAACGTCGAAATTAGAATCTAAGAAATAGTTAAACACAATCGGTGATGTCGAGATACATGTATTTCCGTTTTGTTGAATCTCAATTTGAGGAGGCTCCACTTGTTTCGTGATAATAAGATTTGATACGTTGTTGTCCTTGTTATTGTTTGCATCCTCTCCTTTATCCTGTGCATTAGAGAATTTATGTTCATTATGAAGAATAGGGCTCACGAACATTGAGGGAATTCTTGTTGAGGTTTCCCAAGGTTTCATTGATTTTCTTCGTCTTTTTGGGCGTCTTAAGACTTCCTCTCGTTCTAATTCCTCTCGTTTTGGGCGTCTTAAGGTTTCCTCTCGTTCGAATTTAGCTCGCGCATTTTGCGTAGCTTGTAATAAAATACCCGCAAGTATTTTAAATAAACCTTTTACTTCGTGTTTTTCATTGTTCCATAAATTTTGAACCATGGTGGACAAGTCAATTTGATGAACAATTCTTTGTGTTGATTTGAGACGCGCATTACAATCTTTACGATATAGTAGGAAATCATTCGAGATAGTTTTCGCATGCCGAGCGGGTGGTTCGAGTAATTTATCAAGTGCGAGATACGTAGTTGGTAACGTTGCTAATGTTGGCCTGTATTCATCTAAAAGCGCATTAATCAATTCTTTTACGGTTATCTCCCAATGATTCATTTTTATATTTCTTTTCATTTCGTTCATGGAAGGAAATAAATTTTGGGTTCTCAGGCTTGGATTTTATAATGCACCTGGTGTCACGTCATGTATATGGTAGCTAGCTTTTATTGTGTAACTTAAACGGCCGTTACCGTAATTACTCAACTAGATATTGTCTCAATTAAAGAAGAATATCTGGGAAAGTTAGACCCAAAATTGGGATTTTTTGGATACAAAATCATATTTTGTTTCTGAAGAACACAAATATATATTTTTAGAAAAGAATAAAAATAGTAACAAGCTGCACCGTTGTTCTAAGCCTTGCTATATGAAAAATAATCTTTGTTCTAAGCCTTGCTATATGAAAACCCATCTTCTCCAAATTTAGCGAAGATAGAGGGAGAAATAACTACTTAACATGCGATCAGTTTATCTTTATAAAAAAAAACAACGACAAATCAACGCAATATCAACAAGTAAGGTGTTCGTTTTTCTGCACTACAGTTTAAGTTACTCAGTTCTTGCAAAATAGGTATTTCGTTGCTTTAACCGCTTATCATAAGAACCGAATCTTATTGTCATATAAATTTGCTAATATATTGGTTTTATTTTGTATTGATCCTTTTGATTATTGCGTAATATTATTCAAAAATTCAATGCTTATTATTCTAATAAAATATTATTCAAAAAGTTTTTAAATGATTCTATATTATAATTTAAGTGATTTCATATTGACACAATTTAAAAAATATGAAACGAATCTTTCTTTTACGCAGCATATATAAATTACACCAATTTAAAAAAAATATGAAGCGAATGATTTAGATTTACAAATTAAGATATTTCTTTAAACCTGCATAAAGAAACAATGTTGTCTGTATTCAATTAGTTCGACTAAACGATTAGTCAAATACATGTGCAAGTAAATAGAGTCCAGAAATGCAAAACTTTCATTTATGCAGTTGTTATCATTTTAACGTTTTTTACTTTCAAAAAAATTACGTATTCATTGCCAAAATAGGTATTCGGTTTAATTAACCCGCGTCAACGTTAAACAAAAGTTAAAAAAATCACTCATTGAGTGACTATTTTGGTAATTTACGTGTAGGACAAAACCCAAAGTTTAAAAGTTGGGTATTGATTCCCAGGTATCTCTGACTTATTAAAATTAATACAGATTAGGAAACTCAAATGACAAAATACTAAATTTGTCACTCCATAAAATCCGATTTGGTCGCTAAACCAAAACGGGGGGGGACAATTTCTTTCGAAAAATTACCAGCAAATGTTAGCTATTTTTTCGTTCGTTAATTAAATAAATCTCGTTATCAAAACGGGATATTTTACTTTTAATATTTTTTTTATATTTACGATATATCACGAGATTGACTGTTGCCAATTAAATCCGAAACAATATTTTATTATAATATCGTTAAAAACCGTTAAATCGAACTGGGTTGGTTTAACGTGTGTGCCAAAATTACGCATGTTATAAGCAAGTGTAATAAAAATAAATGTATTTTTTCTTAAGAATCATTTATAATGATAAAAGTTATTTGTCGTAGAATTTTAGATATTAACTATTTAGTCAAAAGTGATTTACTCGTATAAAGATGTTTAAAATTTCCCAATAGAGTATTAATCAGATATGCTAAATAAATGTCAGAAGAAAAGCCAAGAAAAAAGTTGTGCATTAATTATTACCAAGCTGGTCGTTTATCATTTATTATAGCGTCGTCGGGCACTGTTTTCGATCTTTGCTTCCCAAAAAGTATATGATATGCAAAGAATATGCACTGGGTTCTCGTGTGCTCAATTAATACATGCAAAAATTTGGCAATGACTTTTTTGTCTTTATGAAAATTTCTTTTTTCAGGAAGGCATTGCAACACATGTCAAATCACCGAGCTGCGACTTATCCCTTGTTTACTTATTTGATATCGAAGACCGACGATAATGGTGATAACGCCCTTGTTTAATTATCCAATATTGAACGTAATGACGATAGTGGTGTTGTTGCATTATCTTGATTAATATTCAAGGTAACTGAACAAAGTTAATATTTTACGTGGGAAAAAGTTTTATCACCAATCTTTTTATTTTGTTATAATTAATTAATTACTCCTTATTGCGGTGATGAGGAGAAGAAATCATTGTTCGTACAACTTGGAAATTTGTAATAATACAAAAAAATTTGGAACATAAACGGTTTTAGATATAAAGTTTTATGTATTAATCAATATTCCTGCTTTTTAGTATTGTATTTCTTTTTAGAGGTAATAAATAAAAGACGAATCATGTTCGTTGGAAAATCATTCAATTACTTGCAGAAACAAGGCTTGATAAATTTCATTCAATATTCATGCGCCTGTATTTGTGAAGAAGGTTGTAAGTTTAGTATCGATATTTGATTAAAAATTTTAAAGTATCCTTGCAACATGTATATCTTTTAACATATATGCATTAATTGATTGTATCTTATTTCGCAAAAAAATATATCCTCTAATTAACATATGATCGAATTGTCCCAACATTTGTTTACTCATTATTATAATAAATAGATAAATAACAAAGTGAAACTTTCGTTGTGTGTTAAGCGCACGCTGTTGTTCTCATTAAATCCGTTTTGGTGGTAGACAATCCTTAAACCAGGATATCATTATGTAGGTCTGTCTGTATTCAATTAATAAAAATCACAAAGAAAAACACTACACAATTTTAACAGTCTTACCTTTCGTACAGGAAAGAACAAATCATTGCGCCTTATGTATGCTATTCCCCCATTTCGATTCGAAACTTACCAAAAAAATTCGGTGTTAACAACATTAAGAGAAAAGGATTAACCGATCGAGTCAAAGGTTTCCCTTTTATTATACGAAAAACGTTAATCGTATCTTGTTGGAATTACTTCTTTTCAACAACGCGTATACGATAACTTCTTAATTAATCGTGTACGATCAGAATTAACCGTTTCAGAAATCTTGCATGGAATTTTAAGCTTGTATAATTCTCTATTTGGATTAATTTAAAATTTCCTAATAATTATCTGCAGAGGTTTACTAATTTTTCCTAATGAAGATCTTCCTAAAAATGAACAGAAAAGAATACTAAACTCGGTAACGTTAATATATACGGTCTCTAACTTTGGCAATAAATTTCTTGTACAATAAACAATCACAAAGTCCTAGGTTTGCGACAACGAATAATGAATCTTTTTTATTGATCGTGTCAGTATTTTCTTAATTACCTCATGGTTGTACAGGATTAGACAATTGCATGTTGGTCGTTGTTATTGTTCATTGATCCACAAAGAACCGAAAATTCGGGATAAAGGCTATCAAAATCAATAATACATGCTCACTGTTTCACAGTTTCATACTAAAAATACGCTGAATCCCGTCAACGAAAATGTTATATAAATGCATGAGCCATATTCACGAGAAGAAAATGAAAATGGAAAAAACAAAAGAGAGTCTAAATCAAAAAGCGATAAGACATCGTGCAAGTCTAACTGCTTTTGAGCAATTCAGATCAAAGTATCGACAAGCAGTCCGATGTCTTCTTTCTAAAGAACTCGTGCAAATGGCAAATCCTCTTCCACTAAATCATTCGGAACTGGAAGAATTACTCAATTTCGGCAAACGTGCAAGAGGAGAACGAGGCCTGCCTCGCCCACAGAATCAATGGGTATTATACCGCAAATATAAGAATCTCCAGATTGACGCTGACAGATTTGGTCAGATTACGAAGAAAGTGGCAGTACTATGGCGCCAAGAGACAAATTCTGTTAAACAATTTTTTGAGTTTCTTGCAGAAACTAGCAAACGCGCACATAAACTAGCTTTTCCTGATTATCGTTTTCGACCAGGACAAAACTTTTCCAAAAGAAGAAAGTATATGAGTAAACCTAAACAGGTAATCAACTTCGAATCCAACAATAATGTAATTGGAAACCAAATACATCAATTTTCTACCACCAATACAATCTCGGAATCTCCTCAACAGACATATCCTGAATGTTGGAATAGCAATGAATTTTTTGATTTAGATCTATTCAACATGACATTAAATTTACAACCGCAAGAATCATCAATACCCTCATCCATACCCACACCAAAAATTGATAGTTTACCTTCTCAGACAAGTAATGAACAAGTCGAACCTTGCCAAGATTTGATAGTCCCCTCGATGCAAGAAATCGATCGTACTTCACAAGCTTTAATTGACCTTCAAAACGAAGTTATTTTGCTTTTGCTTGCGAATCAGCAAAACTGGTCATTTAACCCGAACTTTCCAGGGTATTAATCGATTAAATATTATTAGTCTATCATCGACATTTTTGAGTCAATTAATTTTAAGATTTTACAAATAAGATATTCCTTTTCGAGAAATTCTTCGTTATTTTTGTAATTTATAACATGTACATTATGAGAATTCATTTATGCATATTATTCAAATAGCACAACTTACTTGATTTCAAATTTCGTGTTCAATGCTTGCTTTACGTGAATACGAGAAATTTTTACTATCGGTTGTTTTGTGCGCGATTCTTTTGTTGAATAAAAGGGGAATTTTTTAAAGTTTTGATCGCCCGCATTCTTCATGTGTGCATGTAACGCTAATCCTAAATATGGTATTTATCTCATTGTATGATTTGTGTAAATCTTTAGAATTAAAAACGTTTCTCTCACTTGAAAATAATGTCGCAAAGCTCCGGCGAAGTAAAAATTTATATTCTCTACTTCAATATCAACAAACATGCCCTTCTTAATTACAGATAGTTAATTCAGGGTGCAGAAGAATGCGTTTGCTATCTCATTTCACAAGATCATACGTACCAATATCATGCGTAATTAGCGAACATGGCACAGCGAATCTCGTAAACCTGAGGAAAAAGCAGAAGAAAAAATTTAGCTGGTTTATCGATATATCGGTTAAGACTTATTATGATTCTCTTAAATGAATCTAATTAATTTAGTTATATTAATTAGCTAGAAATTTGTGATTGATAATTCCTTCGCAATAGGATAAAACCTTGCTTAGTACAAACCTGGCTTAAAGTAGTTCCGATTCACCGTTGTAATCCCCAATTTAAATATCTTCATCAAGCATAGTTTAGCTGACCAAATGTATTTAACTACTTAACACAATTAAAAATATGTCTTAGAATTAACGAACATTCTGACGAAACATATTATTACAACCAAATTTCGATATAACGAACCTTTTATCAAAATTTCTTATGAACCTTTGTTATATAAAGATAGTCTTTAATCAATAAAATATTTTCTTTCATTATATCAGGATTTCGTTAAATTTAGATTCATTATATCAAGGCGAGGTTTGACTGTAATCGAATATAGCTTTTTCCCTCTCGTACGCATTAATATCCCATAGAAAATTTTTTTTCTCCAAAGGTGATGTTTATATTTTTCTGTGAATTTCCTATTAACCTAAAAAAATTTTGCAAAAAGAAAAAAAGGTCGATTTTAGCGTTATTGAGAATTGACTTTAGCGCTATTGAGAATTGACTCTTGAGAAAGTAAACAAGTGCATGGTATTCAGTTTAACTCATGACATTTTTGAGAAACAGGTGGGATAAGAGAACATTATTCTAGAGTAACATGCTTTTTGGAGATGAGTAAGCCGGGGGTTTTCTTTGTATGTATAAAAATATAGCTGTGTTAATTCGTATTTTTAGTAAACGTTTGTTTCTAAAATATTGAGAATAGCAACAAATAGCAATACGCTAGATTCCTTACAAGATGCTTGATTAATTAGATTTTGGGAAAAAGAATTGTCCGGTTAATTCATTAATTTCCAACCGGTCGATGCTGCTGTTGTCAGATGCAAGTACCTCCTTATCTGTTATCATGATAAAAATTCAGGAGATACAAATATAATAAAAAAAAAATACTGAATAAATTTTATTGTTGTCACTGTATATTACGCAAATACGATTTCCCCTGATTGATCTTTGCAATGCGGGATTTTCAACTCACATTTCTAAATGTGGAAACAATCTCGAAAGATGTGTGTGACAAAATAAAATGAAGGTACCAATTTCCCGCGTTTTTTTCGTTAACCAATTATAAATTTTTGCTTATTCCTTTGTTGTAATCAAATAAAGATTTGCATGCGGAAGAAAGCATCCTAACTATTACCGTTATCTTTAAATCGTTCTTTCTATCCTCCATTAAGTAACTGTGAGAGAACTGATTTTACTTTTTTGATTAAAGCAAGTTTGGAAATTGTAATGAAAGAAAGGAAGTGTTTCGTGCGTTGCTTACCTATTGTTCAATTAATTGTGAATGATGCATACCAATGAGACATTGGGGAATTTAGTTTGCAAAACAAATCACAATAGCGGTCTCTTTCTTTACCCTTTGTTGTGAAAATCATAATTCCAAGAATACTTTGTTTACACGATAATATGACGTAAAGAAAATATGTCGCCGTATTGAATTAGGAAACTCTCATAGTTTGAAACCTTTACTCCCGCCCTCACAAAACAAAGATTAGCTCTCATTGGTATAATGGTAAATGCGTGTTCAAACAAAGGCGAAAAACAAAAAGAGAATGTGTATGCAATCAATTAACGAAGTTTGGCACAAGAAACGCTGATAATTCTGTTTTCAATCAATTATATAATCTTCTAAATAGAGCGTTATTTAGTACTACAATGATCCCCAACAAAGTTCTTTTTATTGAATATAATAAGCTTGAAGGGTCACAAACTAAAATTAGTTTTACGTTAACATTACAACGACAAATATTCCTAAACTAGCATCACGATCTTAGACAATTTCAGCCATTTAAAAGGTCATCTATAGAAAACAGAGCTAATAAGTTTTGTTCTAGAAATTTGAGATCTATTTTTAGTTTTATAATATAATCTTACCGTGTATCTATATCACCCCACACAAGATACCTATCGACTTATACCCGAATTTAATTAAACAGAAAATTAAAACACATGTCAATGTGTTTTAATTTCTTAACAAACTTACGTATCGATAACCTTAATTTAGGTTAACAAATAGCGCGTATTACCTAGTAACTGGTATCGATTTTAAGAAACCTAATCAATTAATAAAACACAATTGGTAAGACGACATAATCGAAGAAAACAGTGACAGACATTTATTTCTCATATTAAAAAGAGGCTGATACCAACATCGTGCGTGCTTCACGCATAAGCCCACAAACCAAATTTTTTTTGTCATTGTTTCTATCAAACTTTATCTTCAAACACCAATAATAAGCGAGAGATGAAAGACAGAAACATCCTCTTGCAATAATAAACTTCGAGTTTCGACTTTTATTAACAATAAAATATGAGATGTGTATACTCGGTGCTTTATATGCGGAATAAGTTAATGATGCCATTATTTTTACACTATTAATTAATAATGCCATTAATAATGTTAAAATGATATGATAAACAGATACTATATAGCATTGTTTCCATAGTTAGATTAATACTTACCTATTGTCCAATAGCGTTCAATCAATCATGAGTGTTGCACACGCAGATTTATGCATACCGATACCGCGTGCAATTTAACCTCTTCCATATTCATTAAATTCACGAAAAGAAAGATCAAAGAATAAAAAGAATAAATCAAAGGTTTTAATTTAATTTGAAGGGAAGAGAAGAAGAGAGAAGAAGAAAAATAAGAGGAAGAAGGAGAAAAAATGGGCATTGCCGAATCGTTATTTTTCACTTATCAAAGAGTAAAAGAGCAAAATTCGGCACAAGAAAAGAATCAAGTTTTTCATGCATAACATTTTCCCATCCATAGAGATGACATACATGTAAACAAATCCCCTAACCTTAAACCGGGATCATTAAACGAACCTTCAGTAAGGTAAGCATATATAAAATCAGATTCACCTTTATCTTCTAGTATATAAAGAGCGAGAGAAACGCTCTTTTTCATATCTAACAATTTTCCTCTCCGACCCAACTCCAATTTCCTTTTCTTTCTTTTTCTTCTAATACCATGTTTAATTTATTTTAAACATTCATTCTTTTTTTTCTCTCCTTTTCTCGTCTCTTTCTCTCCTGTCTACATACCATACATACATACATACATACATACATACATATATTAATATATATGTATTTATATAAATTCACTCTTTAATAAACAGCATTTGTCGTTTATAACAACATTCATATGCTATAATCTGCAAATGTTCGCAAAAAGAGACATTACTCAAAAAAATCTCGGTAACAGATGAATTCTGATAGCATGTGTTTTTTCACTCAAAATAGCAAAAACGTTTACGCGTCTTTTTATGCAGGAAATAATTCGTAATTTCGTCATCTCTCCCTCGTTCCCAGGCAAACTTCAAGAAATGGAAATTGCTAGGTTTATATTCTCTTGGTTTTTATTTGGTATATACATATTAAATATTAGCTCATTTGATTGTTTATTGAATAGATTGCCTCCCTCCCTCAACAAGAATACAAAGCGTAATTTTGCAACTTGTCATACATCTTTGCGCACAAACCATGGTAAAGTTTGCTAAAATCATATGAATTCATATTAGTATCAAACTGTTAAAGCCCTACACTCAAACCTCGTTATGGTGAAGATATTGGGGTAAGCGAAAAATTTTCACTATAGCTTATACCGAGAGAATATTATATATCTTCATTATATCGAGTTGAAGTCTCTTAATATTCTGAGAAAAAGTCTCTTAATATTCTGAGAAAAGTCTTTCATTATATCGAGAGTTTTACTATAATGAGAGTTTATTATAACGAGCGTGAATTGTATATGCTATTATTAATGCACCCTATCATCATTATATCATTATATGTACATATAATATCATTAGGCATCTAGAGTTACCATCATCGGTCAAGGACCAAAATTTCGTCAATTAATGGGTTTCGGTATCTATCACTATTTACATAACCACGTAAAGCCTTTGAACAATAACGAAAAGATCAAATTAAAAGACTATAATTTATTCCATTATAACTTTTTAAGCGCGTCCTTGGTTAAAACTATTCGGGCTCGAGGTTTTGTACGCGAACTTACGAATTTAATCGATTAAAAGGATAGAAATCCTCGAATTTTCGTGTATTTCGTTAGTCATTTCCGGTTCCAGTCTAAGGTCAGCAAAGATTAATATAATGTCATCGATAATTGCTTCTTTTAAATTTCTTAAATTTCGAACAATTAAACGAAACGACTGACTTCAATATCATCTTTTCTCTTTACATTAATTGTAATAATAAATAGTCGTTGAACCATATAATTTCTTATTTAATATCCTTAAATCTGTTGCTCGAAACAGACAGCGTTACGAAAAATTTTAGACCTCGAACTGGAGGTTAAAGAATATTCGACATGCGTGTTAAATATTTACGATGTACAAGTGCGCACCTCGTCGCGACAGCCTCGTCTCCACCATTGATTATACCTCCGAATGGTTATTAAAATCCCACACAATCAACAATAAGCGGAGCTCCCCCCCCCCCTTTTCACTCCATGATAAATTCGATCCGTGAAACGTTTGGACTTCATAAGCTTTTTTAAGTTAAATAAGATTTTTTAAGATTTTTAAGCTATATTAAATAATAGAGGTTCATAATACTAAAACTAGCAATACTAAGATTGACAATAAGAAAGTATGTAATAAACATGGTCAATTACTAAGCAGGGTTGGCAAATAATAACAAGGTTAATAAAAATAAGAAAGTTGGTTAATCGGATAATAAGTCTCAAGTATTTAAATGAATTATGTAAAATTATGCTAAGCACGTAAACCAAATTGACTTAAATATTCAACGTCACTGTAATATGCTGTGAGTGCATCAAAAATCTGCAATACATAAATAACATTGTTTTATCATGCAAAGCAAATTTACATAAATTAATTTAATTAACTTACAGATCAGGTTATGGTGTTTACACAACTTATACCGATTTTATCCAAATGCATGGAACAAGAGAAGAGCTTTTTCTCTCTTCTGTATTATGAATTAGAATCAAAAAAAAAAATCGTAAAGATCTTTGAGTATAATGCTTTCTAGTCTTAAAAAAAGCCGAACTTGAAACCAATTAAAATTCTTGATCTTTCATTTTTTTCGGAAAAAAGTTCCGTTCTTCAAAAACTGCACTCTTCTCTAATGAGCTAAAACGTTATTAAATTTCAACGTTTGTTTCGTTATAGCCGACCAGACTTAACATCAACGGTAAATTTTTTTAAGTTTCACTTTACGTTTATCTTGACGATCGAGAAGAATCAAATCCACTCTTATTTATCCGTAAATATGAAACATTAATAAAAGCACTGCGATGTAAATCCGACTTTACCTTTGATCAAAGATGGTGTTTCATCACCAATATTGCCGAACGAAATTCGATGAAAATTTACACCACCAAAGAGAACAATAAAAATAGCTTCCTTGTTATTGTTTCTTAGCCAATCAAATCGGGACGTCAACAAAGTAAATAAACATCTTTTTTCTTAGTTACACTGTTTCATCATGCATAATAAAATTTTATTTTCATTTTATGTGTTGCTAAATTGTCGACCGGGTATAGATGAAACCTTTTGAGAGTAGCCACTCGTTACACGGATAATCTTGAAAACTATAAAAGCTCACCCTTTCACTAGCCACAACAAATCGAAAGAATTCGAAAAATCACAACAATGAAAAGAAATTCAGAATCATATAAAATTCAAAAACAAGCTCATCGTCAGCAATTAAAAGAGCTTGCCCTAGAAAATTTTAAAGCGAAATACAAGGCAGCGGTGCATTGTCTTCTCCGGGACGGACTTTCTTCGGCCAAAGAGTTGCCGTATGGGTTGACTATTTCGGATCTCGAAAACCTTCTGGATTTCGGTAAACGCATTACGGGAAATGACGATAAATTGCCACGTCCTCAAAATTCGTGGATCATATATCGAAAGTTTATGGGACGTCGTATTATCGAATCAAAAGAAGCAGTGTTATTCACGGATATTACCAAGCTTGCCGGAGAAAGATGGCAAAAAGAATCCGAAGAAGTAAGACAGCTCTTTTTTATTCTCGCAGAGGCAAACAAACGAGCACATAAGTTTGCCTTTCCAAATTACCGTTACAAGCCTACACACAAGACCATTGGAAAAGGTAACGAGGCTAAATATAAATTGATAATGGACAAGAGAGTTACCAGCTATGTAACTAATAGAACAACATCCACAACAAATGATACCGATAAGAATAAACCAATAGAGCAAATTAACCCGCCATTTTTATTGGAATTATCCAATTTCGTAGTGCCTTCTCACCTGAATGAAAACACTATCGATAATTCTAATAAGAATGTATTATGTGAACAGATACAGAATACAGCTAGTTCGCAATTTTTATGGGATTTATCTACCCCCATAGTACCTTCCCAACACGAAGAACCATTCGTTCAAGAAGACCCAACCTCGAGTCTTGTTAATTTAGATTATCAAATTAGATCCGAATTAAATCTCTTGCCCATTTATGAATCAAATAATAATATGATAATCAACGAACCAATCCTTGATATACCTGCTGAATCCTCATCTTTCCATTCTGCAATTTTTCAAAAACCAGAACAAAATTTAATGGAATTTAATTATTATGACGCGTTAAATTTCTTTCCCGAAGACATTCGTCAAGATGAAATCAATAGTCCGATGATAACCAATGATTCTAAATTGACATTTGATTTCGGCGAATTATTTCAATTTATTGAATTTCCATACTATTTTTAATCATGAATCATATATTATTCTTAATTTTAATATAATATTTAAATCACAAAAAAAAATATAAAAAAAATATTTTTTAATTCATTCATAGAAATAATTATTTTATCACCCAACTCACTCGTGTATCTGTTATCATCGTTCAAACTTTAAGTTTATAATAAATTAATCGATAATTAGATTTCATTACGACTTTTAAATAGATATATGCACTCTACTATGAATAATTAAGACGCGCCAATTGGTGCAAATATTATCAACAGCCAATCATATGTTTAATCTTATAAGCTAAATATGTAACAATCAAATTGAAGATTAGTATTAATATGGCTCTTTAACGTTAACGTTAGTAAATCAAATTTGTATTCTAAGATTTTAAAAAATAAACCGATTATTCTAAGCTAAAATACAAAGAATATGATTGAACCAAACGAATCTTTAAATGTCGCAGCATTGCTTTTGCAGGATATGATATGTTGGGACTTGAATGATTTTATTCGTATATTGATTGAGATCTCTTGCATCCAAAAAAATGCAAAAATCATATCTGATATCATTTGAAAGTGGAATCAGAGACACCGGAGATTCGTTGTGTCGATTTTACATTTCGACAATATTCCGATATCGATGTATTGTTCATTCCAGGTTTGATAATTATATAATTTTTGATTTTTTGTTAATTCTAAAGACACATTTTGAATGTAATTTTTATTTGAATGGGGTAAAAGAACCAGAGAATATGCCTATAATTTAGTTTAACGACGAAAAAATTTCTAAGACACTATCCCGAAAGTAGATTATGTGTTAAGTGTTTGTACCGGATCTGCGTTGATTGCAGCTACCGGTCCTTTGGATGGCAAATCAGCGACTATCGCTTATAGATGGTTACCGAACAAGGTTTGCTTTTCGTTTAAAAAACAAAAAATTTAAATTTGAGCCTATAAGGTCCAAATGTTAAATGGATTTACAAAGTCCGACGGGCTCATGATGAAAACACCATTCTTCTGCGTAAGGTAAAATTTATTTATGCCATTTTTCTGTAATAATCACTCTTTTTGACATTAATCTTTAATGTATCAATTTCTTTAGTTTCATTAGGTTCTTTTGACTTTAAATAGATTCTTTAATTGCCTTTCATTTGGAGTTTTAAATAAAACATTTAATTGGTTCTAAGAAATCGATATGGCATTGGGTTTCTTGTCGGATATTTATGGCGAAGGAACAGCTAATAATATAGCGATACGGTCTGAATAAGATTGACATAAGGTTCCAACAATAATTCTATAGGATTATCCGCTTAACAGATCGTTTACGTTTTTTTTTTTTGCTGGCAGGATGCGTTAAAAAATACATACAAATCTTCTGCAGCATTTATTACATTTTTATTTAACATGACGGAATAATCCGGCATTACTTCGATCCTAGAGTTGAATTAAACACTATATATAGAAACTTTAAATAGAAATTTTGACAATTTTTCTGATTGCACGAATATGATCATATGGAGTTTTACTATATTTGTTTTAAGAATAAGAGGCGGGATATACAGCATCGAATTCCGAATTTACTAAATCCTTTTAAAATAATTGTTTAGCAAATGATTTGTCTTCTAAAAACTAACCTTTTTCATTTTAGCTTTCTAGAAAATTCTTTAGCTTTATTAGGAATGAAACGGATTTAAAAAGATGTAAGGAAGGATTGACTATGAAATGATAGGTAAACGGTGATTTGTAGGAATACCCCGTTTCTTAATAACACGCTAATTTATTTTCTTTATAAAAAGAAATTAATAAACCAAAAAAGCATAAGGTATCAATAGAAAATTATTAGTTTACGAATTTTCATGTGCACAAATATAAAGATAAATTTGATAAACGTACCCAGATTATTGTATCCTCATTATATTTTTATTTTCGATTTTGATCGTCATTGGCAAAAATTGTTACACGAGATACAGGATAAATCCGGAATAGACTTGTTTTGATGTGCTAGATCGACTATATGCTGTTATATTTCTATTTTTATTAATAATAGTAACTCACTGAAACAGTACTAACAACAATAATAAACTAATAACCTGGATTATAATTGTTGATACCTCCCTATATTATACCGAGAATAATGGAAAAACAAATAACCTACGCACGAAAACTATACATTGTTTTTTATAAAAATTCGTGCAAATGTTAATATTAGAAACCTAACTTTTAATCTTATCTTTATGTTAATTCTAAAGAACCCCCACGTATATATTTAATACATTTTGTGTATCAAATAATGTGAATGCATCCAGTTTCATTTATAAAAGGAATCATTGTAAAAGTAATAAATATCTTTTACTCAAATAGCATATTTATTCGGTCAACCTTTAGAATTGAGTTCGGCTAGAAAAAAATTTTAATAATTACGTTTATTTACGGGTAAAATTACTTCCAAATATTTCTTTTGAAAGCTTTATTTGTATTGTTGTTCTGACACTTGGTCCTGTTTGTGCGATCATTCAGACTCTCTTATAATTTTTTCCGCTTTAAAAACCTGTTTTTTGATTATTATTATTATTATTATTATTATTATTATTATTATTATTATTATTACTATTACTATTACGTCTACTACTACTATTGCTACTACTACTACTACTACTGCTACTATTATTATTATTATTATTATTATTAATTATTATTATTATTATTACTATTATTATTATTATTATTATTATTATTATTATTATTATTATTATTATTATTATTATTCATCATCTCCGCTTTTCCAGTTTTCTTTATTATTTACTTTTCTTTGTTCATTTTTACGTGTGATTTCGCGCTCAAATAAATTAAACATCATTAAGCTAAAGTATATTATGCATATGCAGTTGTGCATATTTAAAAATTTGGAGTCAATTATAAAAAATTAATTTACTGTTTTCCTAAAAGAGTAAATCATGTCATTGATCATTGAAATCTGTATTTACATTAAATTAGAAATGACACGAAAAAAGAAACTGTCGTGATTACAATGAAACTAAATTCTTTGTACTTTCGCTGATTATCAAGTCACGGCGGGCAAAAAAGCAACCCTTATCTTTGTCTTGCAAAAAAAGTAATCATATAGCGCCAGTTGAAAGTCATACCTTATTGTTGCTGTGGAACGCACACTCTTTATCTAACAATCATAAACGAGTATCATGTTATTCCGAGATGCTGGGATTACCGACCCCAAATTAAATTATATTGCAAATAAGTAATCACTTATCTCGTATTTACACATATCTCGATGTATTCTCCTGGTTTAGGTTACATTCGGATGATCTCTTCGAATATATAAATATCTCTACTCCCCGTCTCAAAAACCTTCATATAAAATATCGAAACAAATTAATTAATTACAACAAAATGTCCAATACAAAATCTAAAATGTCCAAAACAACAACTAAAAATTCAAATGGCACCTGGAAGAAATCAAAGACAATGAAAGAAACAAATAAACCTTTCAGAATCAATAAGAAATCAAAAACGGTTTTCGATTTTAATCTTTCAAACTCAAAATATAAACAAGCCATTACCCGCATTCTAAACGAGGAAATCTCACAACTTGACCATCCACTGAAATTCACTCGTTCAGAACTTGAAAATCTTTTGGATTTTGGCAGACGAGTCTCGAGTAAAAAAATTCCACGGCCACAAAACAAATGGGTGCTTTATAGAAAAGCAGAGGGGATAAAACTCACTAAAAACGGAGATAAACCAGAATTCAATGCGATAGCCAGAATCATCGGTGAAAGATGGCAAGAAGAGGCGCAAGAAGTAAAACGGTTCTTTGAACTTTTGGCGGATATTGGAAAAAGAGCTCACCAAGAAGCTTTCCCGCAGTATAAATATAAACCGAAGAGACGCACAGATTCCGGCGAGCGTAACTACGAATGGGTAAAAGAAGATCATGAAGTAAATAATAAATTAACTGTTAGTTGTTCAGAAAGTGATATAAATAATAAATTAACTGTTAGTTGTTCAGAAAATGATACACAAAGTGTACAATTACTGGATGAGATACCATATATTTCAACGGACTTTAATAATTATAATTATTTGGTTGATCCCCAGCAACAAATATACTACAATGATATCTATTATAGCACTGATAATACATACGCCAATTTTACGAATATGTTACAAGAAGAGCCAGAAAAACAATTTATCAATCCGTATTTTCTAACAACAACAGATACACATTCTGCAACACATATTGAAACGCAAGTTTCTCAATTTCCTTCAATCTTAAGTCTAGAAGAGAACTTGTCATGCTTAAATCCAGAAGAGAACCTGGCATGGCCATTTAAGAACACTTCATGCTTGTCATTTCCATTTACAAGTTAGACAAGTCAAAATATTTATTAAATCTAATATATTGGTGGTGGTGGTGGTGGTGGTGGTGGTGATGGTGGTGAAAGAAGTTATTTAGCGCTTCCATTTTTAGAGTATTTTACTTCTTATTCTTGTTTAACATGCAAAAATTTACTATTATTATTTAGTGTAATTATGGTATTTAAAAGTACATTTGTAAAATATACGCACATATAATTTATTAAACGCATATATTCAAGCGTAATTATGTTATTATTCGATTGTACCAAATAACACAACGTATGCTTAAGCGTTCCTTAAGATTGTTCTTTGTAAACTTTGTTCGATAATCAATAAAATACTGTTAAAATAAGCAGCAACGAAAAACGTGCAGAAAATCACTCTTGGAGGGAGGACAGACGCAAACGAGGATCAACGTTTTGGCGGCAGCGGCGTTACGATCATTGCACCTATAACAAGCACAACGTTGTTCATCAATTTTGATTCCTGAAACCGGGGAGCAATTCGATTATCATTCTGTTACCTAAGCAGACAATATTTAGATTACATAAACTAGGGACCACAATAATATGAAGGCATGAATGATTATCGTTACATGGAAAATTGATTATGTATTTGTGCTTGGTAAACTTTATCCCGAAAACTTAACTATTTTTAGTAATCTCTACTTCACAACGATAAAGGTCTAATTATATCCGCAAAGAATATCTTTCGGGTTAACATTTAATATTGTTTCAGCGTCTAATCACTTACTATCTAGAATATTTGATTTCGAAAAGGACAATACCCTAAATATTAAAATATATACTACAATTTATGATGCAAAATACTGAATTTTTTATTTTTGTTAACCGTAACTAAAATAGAAAACTCTTGATTTCCCTGGTACAATTCCGGAGCACGAAGTGGCAAAGCTGCTGCCTACTACATACAGTTTTATATTAAATGCTAAAAAAAGAAAAAGTCCCGAGTTTTTGGACTATCGGATGTTCTTATTATATGCTATGTTTAGACTAGGCTGTAATTCTTATTTTCAATTCTTAATTAATTTGTAAATTATAATTTGAACAATATTTCGAATTTGTCAATTAATTAAACGCCGATATTTTAATCTATTGACGACATCTTTAAATAAATTAGGTTTCTTTACCTACTAACCAAAAAAGGCTCGACTAGCTCAACTGGCTAGAGCATCAAGCGGTACTTAGCCCGGGCTTGTGTGAACACGAGTTCGATACCTGCTTGAGACTAAAATACGAGATATGCGTGAGAGGATTTAATAAAATTACGCGAGTTCTTTGAATTGGTAATGCGAGATACGTTGTAAGCGTGATAAATTAAAAATTTCTCAAGTGGTGACTAAGTACTCTTGAAGATGCGGCGTTCAAGTCCCGCGTCGAGCAGGTTTTTTATCATAAGATTTGTTTGCGTCATAAATTATTATGGAAGCATCCGAGAAGAAAAATATAAATCATTCGTTCGTGCATCTATCATTCATTATACGACGAAAAGCTCGGAATGACATCTCAGAATGATATGATAAGAAACCCTTAACAAATGAACTATGTGAATGAGAATTAACTCATTAACAATAACTGAGCGAGTTAATTAATATAGGCGCATCGTATAACAGCCACAATAATAAAACTATCATAAAGGTGAATTAATATCGCAAAGGTCCATAAGGTTGTAAGAAGAATAAAAATATTTGGTGACTCGTGAGTATCGTAACCAGGTTCCTGATCCATAGAAAATTCCTGATTTTAGATGAATAGCACTATGGAAAATTACTTTTACAGTCACGCCCATCGGTAATCACTTAATTTGACTTTTCCGAGAGATGTCTTTGCTGTGCGTAAGGTTAAAGCTATGTCGTGCATCAATCGTTTCCTAATTGTAAATTAAAAGTTCACTTGGATTGATTGTCACTCGATTCGGGTGGTCGGTAATGAATAACAATCGGAATTAATGATAAGTTATCATTTTCCTTTTGGGAAATATATACATGTGGTCTAAGTCTAAGTGTAATATTATACTATTAAATAGGTTTTAGTAAATAAAAGAAGGTAAAAATAATATTATATTATTAACTTAAAAAACATTAGGTACATTAGTATAGACATTTGTCAAGCAGCTACGAGAAAGGCCGTGTGATAAAGTACGTTCATAAGATAATAGATTTTTTATTATTTTTCTTCTTTTGATATTTTACTATTGATTTTGAAATTTCACTTTTTCATAAAGTTATCGAAGTGGATCGCGGCTATAATTTATAGCGTTGTTAAAAATAACAACAAAGATGGAAAGAAGACTAGAAACTCGATTTGAATGAAGCGAGGAATTGATAGTTTAAGGAAAGAGGTCAAAGGTAAAGATTTTTTATTAAATTTATTGCTGACTTTGAATACAGATCGTGATTTAGTACAACATTCGAGTAAATTTGAAAATTTATTGTTTTTTTCACGTCAAGATTAAGATGGATTAAATTTTTTTTTCAAATTTTTTTTTGTAGTCTAGTAATATAGCATCTCAGAACTGCAAATCTCACCCACCATCAAAAAACGTCCGTTAGAGCAATCCAAATGGTTCTTGGAAAAACTCCAACACTCGCTTCACATATAAAAAACTATTAATAACTTCGTATTTGAGGAAATCACCAAAGAAGCTGCGCGTTTATATCCTTGATGTCAATTTATGTCAATCCACGGAGTCGGGAACACTCCATTCATTACGATCCTGAGTTGGTTTGATCCAACCCTTCAAAAACAACAAGAGTAACATTGATGGCCATCGATACTCGTTGGAAAGGCACTCACATAGATTAATGTATTTATTTAGAACTATAACGTCGAGTTTGAAACTTTATACATCATTATAATGTAAAATTTTGTACCTCTATTATCAACATGATGGGATCAGGCATTTTTGTTGATATATAAGAGGGTTGATAACTCGGAGGTTAGCGTCAATGTCAATAAGTTCAAGCGAAATTTTTTCTGCAATAAATGTTGATATTAAGAGATTGATAATAGGGAGGGCGACTGTTTTCATAATGATTAATAATTTGAATAAATACTTGGTCTCGAAATGATAGTCAAAAAACCATTGGACATAATTTCAAATCCGGTACCCGAGGAAGAATTGTGAACGAGCCCTACGATAAAATGTATTGTCGGATCAAGCAAAAAAGTATGGTATGTACAATCAGACATCATACTATAATTATATAGCCAAACCTTTGAGAAACCGAACTGAACGGGTTTGGTTAGTAGTAAAAAATTCATCTAATCGAGGGAACTTTAATATAACTGTTTCTGGGCCCAAATTCGATTGATTTGTATCTCGAACCAATAATCAAACCCTTTTTCCGAGGATAGTATGGCATACTTTTCATTGTTCTAACCATACATATTATCGTAACATCCATTGCCAGACACAACAAAACAAACAGTCGATTGCTAATTATTCTTTGTGGTTTTATTGGTTTGAGGCGTATTTATAAACAACCTCTGTCACACGATGCCAAATTAATGAATTGATTTAAGATGCAAAATTCTCGTAATTTTATTAATACCATCATTAACATTTCTTTGACATTGAAAAACGCCACACTAGATTATTCACGCATGCAACCAATCATAAAATCATCCTTCCTCATGAATACACCGACGAAGATGTTCAGAAACGATATTGTGCGGCTCGCAAACCATTGATGTCGAGTAGTTTTATATGGTTGTTGGAGATGCCAAGGGTGATATATGGTGGACTAAGAAAAAGATCACAATTATGGTAATACGCGTTGCAAATAAAATATTTTTAAAATCAGTTCAAGTCCAATGGCCCTTTCTAGCCCCATGAAAACAATTATTTGATTTTTCCATTGTCTCATCCTTCCCAGCTCCGAATATAATAAACTTTATTCGTTCGACACACAGCCACTTGCCTCCTGTAGTTGCTTCACCTACTTAGTACCGTAGAATACAATCTTTTGAACATAATAATGCATGGATCGATGCTGCTATGACGTTAAATGACTTTGTGCTTTTGATCATAATAATTCTTCGTGCAATATTCTTCGATATGTCTTATATGAGGTAATATTCTTTGGGGGGAAGGGTTCTATATAAAATCTCGGGTATATATGTTGTGCCCCAAATCACAATTGTCTCAAATTACAATCGGCCCTGAGTATTTGGTTATGTAGGATTTTGATTCGGTGCATATCCAGATTGCATTTCCTTTATAGCGGAGACTAATTAAACTCACGATATAGCGGATAATATTCAAAACTACCTTTTAATAAATCCACTCGATATAGTAGGTTTAATTTACTAGTAAATTTTCAAAAACTCGATATAATGGATTTCTACTAATAGATTTTTTATTATGCTTTCAAACTCAGCAGATTCTAGAATAATCCATAATGAGGTAATATATGTCATCCCTTAACATGAATTTCATAATTCTTTTTTTTCAATAAATATTCTCAATTTTTTTCATACTTTTTGATCCATAACATCTTAAGAGCAATTTCATATCTAAGAATTAAAATGATTAAGAATTAAAAATGATTAAGAATTAAAATGATTAAGAATTAAATGATGAAGAACTAACTTCGAACGCGGATCGAAAAATCATTCCCCGCTTTTTACCTGCAATTATCATTTCTTCCACAAAAAAAGGAGAGGTTGAATCGTTTAACAAAATCTCTTAGAATTCTTTTGCTATTTTTTTGTTTTTCTGAACAATGAACTTGGATCATCAATTTAATCATGACACAAGTTACATCATATCAATCTTGATGATCCAAACTTTTTTTCTTGTGGTTTAGACATGTCGTGAATGTTTGCCAGAAGACTTTTGTTCCCTTCACAATTGAAACTTGGAACATGTATATGTGTCTGCGTAGATCAAAATTAATCTTATCCCGAGATGCCGAATACAAATTATTTATTATTGTAAGGTACATTACATTTTCACTTTTAACTGTTAGCTCAATTAGTTTAAAGCTTATATCGAAAGAATTATATCATAAATATTTAAATATAAGTCTTTTTAACTTGTATCAGATGCTTGGATCGAGGTTGAAAAATCTCGTTGTCGACGTAGAAGCTATATATTAACGCGCATAACTTGGAAGAAAATGTTATTATTTAATTTATTGATTCAACTTATTGATTATATCCAAGTGTGGATATGAAAAACAAATGTTCAAAAATCACGATCGGTAATTAAAAATGCAATATTGGCTTAATATCACACCGGATGAAGCAAAACTCGATGTGTGATGAACTCACATTATTTTATTCTCAAGATAAATGATATGGAAATCTCCAAATGGTATGAAATTTTTTGGCAAATTGATTTCAGTTCAGCTCCTAAATTCTGGCACTAAGAAAATAATTCTAAAGTAATACTATATTTATAGTGAACCTACGTTATCGAATGTATCCTATTGGCCCAGCTTATGATTAATGGTAGGCTTTTTGGTGATCAGATATAATTTAACCTCTTAATTGATAGTATTTATACTTTTCTCTCACGAACAAAACGACAGATATTCTATTGTTATTTACCTGGAAAGCTAAAATTGCATTCAATCCATGATGATAACATCTCTTCGAGTTAATAATGAATGGCTCAAGAGCTCAAGGTGAGTCTTTATTCTTTTATCTTTCTTTATGATCTAGATTGATCGGGAAAATTTTAAGAGCCCTTTGAGTTACATTGGCCCCGTATAAACGATGTTGATGAAATAAGCGTTCTCCCTTATTCTCTTACAATTTATCTTAATTTTTTTAAGCCCTCTTTTGAAGGTAGTTTAATTATATTCTAATCGTTATTTATCGCATCTTAGTAAGAAAAACACTGATCCGGAAAGCATGACGGACACTTCGCCCGATACTTGATCAAGGTAAACCTTTCTTACAACAATCGATGACGTGTAATTAAATATATGGCAAAACTTTAATGTTTTATTTAAAACATAGAACAAATCGAAGTCAAAGCATCTGGTATTAATATAGGCTCATTGATGAAAATGTTTTATTCAAGCTCGAAGAGCATGGGGAATCACAGATTTTCTTAGAAGATTGATTTATCTATTGATTTGTTTATTTTTGCTATCCGCTTGGATCATTCAATGATCCTCTTTCAATAATCCTTCCTTTATGAATCCAGATTTACCCAAAAAAATTTTCAATAACCAAATCGCGTTGGATGATGATAGAAGATGTACAAATTACGGTGAACGATTAGGTAATAATATATTTGTTATGGTGTATTTGTATAGTGGTAAATATCTATAATAAAAATTTGGGATTTGGGGATTTTTGAATAATCAAACATGCAAGATTCAAGAAGATGCAAAAATGTAAATTGAAGAGAATTAAATGTCCATTAAAGTGGAAGAAAAAATGATGATGATGATGATGATGATGATGATGATGATGATGGTGATGGTGGTGATGGTGATGATATTAATAGTTAAATAATGGAAAGAGAAGAAATCCGTCTTTTGCTGTGGTGATGGCCAATCAAGTTTCTCTACATGATGATAAACCTTATTGTTAAAAGATATAAATATTTTCGTTAGCACCCAATTATATATAGCTAATTCGTGTTTATTTTGACACCATATCAATTCCCATATCGAGCTTTGTTCGAATGGTTATTTCCCAGATAGAATTTATAACAACCCAGCACTTGCGTGCACTGGTTACACTCATGTAACCCCCTAGAAATAGTCCCCCAGCAAAAATTTTGATACGTCTTTAAAGTGACTTCATGAGAAATTCACTCATTTTTTTTCTTGGTTTCTCAGAATTCTATCCGTCTACTCAACCAGGAGTAAACTATCATTTTTCTATCTCTACACGTTCACGGAGAAATTTTCTTTTTGAAACAAAAATGACTACCTTAATATTTTAGAAAGTCGTGGTTAGAATTTTTACGCTACCCTCGCTGTGGAGATTGTTCCGTGGAACCGCCAGTAGTCACAGCACGAAAAGGATGAAATCGTGGTGGACGATGAAGTCCTGTGAGATTCGTACGTGGAGGAGCGTCACGCCTGTGTATCTCCTTCCTCAGCATTTTTGCTGTTTCTTGAATTGTGTGTCGCCAGCTATCATACTCCCGCAGTATCGACTTAGCCACTCGATGACACAGTTGTTCGGGTGGTGAACCCTGAGGAAATGGCGCAAGAGGAGGTCTAGATGACAATATGAATCTGTCGAATTTCTATTAGCGAATTAATAATTTCTTAGATTAACAATGACCAAAAATCGTGTAAAGAGGGAGGCGCAGAAACCCTGATATTCACAAATAGTATTAGTTCAAGTTCGTCTCTATGCCAGGGCACAGGTGCGTGTTCCTCTTCCTCGTCTGAGGAAGAAAATATTTCGGGCGTAGGTGTTCGAATCGCCAGCGACCGGGTTGGTGGTGTTGTTATCCGTTCCGGCATATTGTGGGTGAAAATTAGTCTATAGTGCCACAGTTGAAGTAGACAAAGTAATAGCAAACCAAGCGTGTTTAACTTAAGGAACAAACAAGAATATCAGTGATAGTGGTATAATTTGTGCTGAGAGTGTAGGAAGCAAAAGTTTGATCTGTTTTTTGCTTCAAACATTTGACTTTTGGTCAATGGATGATGACGAAATGTTTACATATTACTGAGAATGTCCATGATGTGTTACCCATCCTGATTTGAAACCTGTATTTGATCAGGTGATAATAGGTTAGAGACGATGTATTATGGCATGGACAGATAAGTTTCATTCTATCAAATCTCTGATTGGATCTTGTAAAAAAAGTTGATAATAAAGCAATTAGTCCATTGTTTAAAACTCTACCATAATAGGCAGGCAATTAATTTGTTGGTTTAAACTCTACCATAACAAGCTGAGTTCTATAGTTTATTTCTATAAAAATAGCAATTAAAGTAACATCTAATATATATATATATATATATATACATGTTAGAAATAAATTTTTTGATGCACGTGTTATTATTTTTAATTAAATTAATCGCGCATAACGATCATTCCAAATGTGATTTTAGGGATTACAATAATAACACTAATAATTTTATTAGTTTCTCAATTTATCTGACATTTAACAAAACTTCCAAAAAACATGTTATATATTGTTTTCCGGAAGTATAAATGTAGAACGAATAAATAACGAGGTGAATAAGTACTGTTCACCATTTCCATCATTGAGTTGGACGTGTCGATAACCTTCATTTAGAAAAATTTCAGCTATGAGAGTTTGCTATTAACAAAACAGGAAAATCTCTGTATAATTTAATTAACCTTACCAGGTTGTAAACTAGCCACGGAGATACAGTAAGAAGCAATAAATTCATTATTACGCACGTCTTCATCATACACACTGAATCTGTTGTTGAATAAACCGAGTTAATTGTAAATCTAGTATCGAATAATAATTTTTCGTTCGAATGCAATCAATTATTTACCTTAAGAATGCTAGGGCTAATTCTTCACAGTTAATATGAAAAGTAAAGGTTTCTTTCCATATTGGATTAAATCCATTGTTAGGTATTGTTTTTGTTTTAAATTTCTGGACTTCCGCACCAGGAACAAACAATTCAAGTTCAACAAATGGATCAACTATATCTCCTTTTGTTTGATCTCGAGGTCTTGGAAGCTGCTGTGCTGAAATAATCTAAAATAAAATAAAAAAAAATAAATATCCCGCCAATTAATGTAATAAATATCCAGAGATGACATCGAATTGATGGTATACCTCAATTTTCAGATGTCTTGTAGAAATATGAGTTAAAGAAGATTCGGAAGAGTTAATTGGAGGAGGATCTCTCAAGCTCTTTGGTTTCAGAACATATCCACATCTTCCATTAACAGCAAACATCGCCTGATTCATTTGCATACCAACGTCTGTAATCGATGTATTAATTAGCGACAAGTGAACTGACTGTTTAAAAATTTACATTAGATTAATTAACTAAAAAACAATTATTTACCAAATTTCTGCCAATTCAATGCCACTAATTGATTTCCAAACATCCAATGATGATGAGGTTCGTAATTTGAAGATTTAATGCGTGTTCCTGCTGGATATATACGTGATAACTGACGAATATTATGACGGATAAAAGCGTTTCTTTCTGCTTTTCCCAATCGTACGGAAGCTCTTTCAGAAAAAGAAGACATCTGACGAAAGTTTGATTTCTCTTTGCAATTGAAGCTATATTAGTAAATTGCTTGCTTTTTTTTTGAATATTGCAGTGTATGATGATAATTACCATGATGATGTTCGAATCCTTTGAATTTTACTGCTGAGCAATAAATAACAAGATCCGACAATTCTTTAGAAACTCGCGGTTTAGTTTTATTTTTAACCTTCTTTTTTGGGTGATGCGGAGTTTCTATATAATTATATTCTGTTAGAAAAAATTTAATTTTGAATAGTTAACATGTATCTTCTTAAAACCTTTTGATGATTCCGCTTCTGATTCGGTGTCAGTAGCCGATTCAGTATCCGTGGTGGAACCCTCTTCGGCGTTGTCATGAGGGATATTCTTTCCCTGATGTAAAAATATTTATATATTAGATGTGATAAATTAATAAAAGAATCGCAATTATCAATTTATCATTCATTACCTTTATAAGAATTTTATACAACAAATCTGCTGGACTTGGCAATGCTTTTTCATGTTCAGATAAAGCTTCTGTAACAAGAAAACCTCCCAACGTCTCACGTAGGATTTGGGCCATTTTAGTCTGTTGTTCAAGAGAACAATGAATCTCTAGAGAAAGAATAAGGGGGTATGGCGAAGCTTTGAATGCATAAGAACGGATAGCAGATATTGTATCTTGAAATGAGATTTTTGATGTTCTATATTAGAGAAAAAACCAAGATGAGATAATTTTTCTGAAGGTAATATTATTGTATTATGTTATTAAAACTCACAAGGTATGCCCATGCGTTACAATAGGTCCGTCAGTTCCATCCCAGCAATCAACTATTTAAATAATATTATTAGTCATAAAAATTTACCAAATGATGAATTGATATATAAATGATGCATACTTTCTACGCAACGACAACCACGTTGTAATACACGAATGTACCCCTCAATTGAAGATTCTCCTTTCAATTGGTATCCCAATAAATATCTTTAATAAAAAATGTAATGAATATTAATAAGAAAATTAAAGTCAGATGAAAAGACAAAACACCCACGTATTATGTGAAGAATCAATAAAATAATGGCTTAAAGGTTGTGTCATATCTTGGAAAAGTTTTGAGTGCTCCGAACAGAAAACTGGATTATCACTCGACATCAAGAAACTGGTAAACCCTTCAAGTGTCATAGCTTTTCGATCATTATCAAGAAATTTTTGATATACATAACCATAATCTTCTTCGGCCAAATTGATCTGAAATCGACGAGTAGTAAATATAAATATAATTAATTAATACGGTGCCAAAAATTTAAGAAAAATTAGAGACTTGCTTTTTGTTCATGAATTAGAAATTCTTTAAATTCATTCAAATTTAAAACATCTTGGTTGGTTTTAGCCAATGATTCAAAAAGCTCCTCCAGTTCTTGTCTGCGTTTTATTAATTTAACGAATCGTTGAAAGTCTGCAAATTCTAATTCACCACGTTTTCCTTCATCCGCTTCCTATATAGAAATTACTTTTAGGCATTTTCTGTTTTGATATTTTAATTAGAAGGGAAATTAAAAAACAGCCTACGTCAAATTTTTGTTTCAACAAGTTTTTTGACAAATTGATGTTCAACTGATGACACAATCTCACAACTTCATCAACTGCCAACTTAGAATTTCCATCTTTATCTGCTTGTTTCCAATATTGTCTAAGCCAAAGTGATTGCCTCCTTCGCATATGTCCAAGACCACCCATCATATCTTTTCTATGTTGATATAATTTCTCCAATGTTTTTACCCATAAGCGGGATGTTTCTAACGAAGGAGCGATAAGATGAAGTGTCTTATATTTGCCAGAATCAACATAGATTATTGTTACCCATTTAGGTTCAACCTCTGAACTCAAATTAAAATGCTCTCTATAATATCGTGCCGCTTCTCCAACACGAAGCTCTTTGATGTTTTCAATGTTGACTAAAGAAATAAAATTATAATAGACGAACATTAAAATAAAAATAATGTTATTTGTTGAATTTACCTTTGCCAGATTTTTTTGAATCCCACAGAATACGTCCTTGGTCGACATCAATTCTAAAAGTACGCGAACGCTGCTTCTTTGCTGATACTTTAGTAAGTGAAATACCCTCCGCAAGAGCTTTATCAATATAAATACTGTCACTTAGAGAAGTTTTATCAAGGGCTGGATACGAAGTAGATTGTCTTCTAAGTTTCCGAGTTTGAGGATCATTAACTTGTTTAATTGTGGCTTGTGTTTCCCCTAAGGTAAGAGCTGGGGTACTATTCGCATCTTTACTCTGGTTCCCGGTAAGAACTGGCTCCGATGTTACAATACTGCTAACTACAACCTCATTAACCAAGCTCTTTCTTCTTTGCTGATGAGCTAAAATGCGTCGGGCTGATGACGACATATCGGCGGTGTATGTGAGTGAATTAGATGTAGACAGCTCAATAGGCACTGGCGTTGCTAAAGGTTGCTTTTCTAAAATTATTGAATTTCTTGGTGAAGAATTTAAAGAAAATCCCGCATTAGGTCCAGAAGACGTATTTTTTTGCATGTTAGCAATATTAGAATCGCTTTTAGAAGCGAAATTCGAACTAGTTACAATTTTCAAATCAGATTTTGCCTTTGGCTTTTTAGGCTCTATTTCAGCCGGTTCAACGTGAAAGGGTTGGTTGAGCACCCCAACGGAATCTTCTATCGATATATTCGAAGCTTTCGATTCTAGTGATATAGAGGTAGGCTCAATTGATAATGTATTCGGCAACCCATTTTCATTTTCATTGTCAATGCTTCTATCCGAGGAATTGTTTTGATCTAAAGAGTGTTTATCTTTGGGAGAGGAGGAAATGGCGAGGTTTTTTTTGGAGGAGGAATCAATGACAGGCTCAATTTCATCTTTGTTCATGCTGGCATCATCATTTTTTATCTTAACGGGATTGGTAGCTTTTGGAATTTCAGATTGCGAACTACTAGCAAAAGGAATTGACCTTGAATCACTCTCCATTGGCAAAATATTCGTTTTTTCGTGATTGTCTTTTCCTTCAACTTCTTCGGCGCCTTTTTGATCTTTATGTTTTCGTTTTTTTGAAAACTTATTCCGCAAGGTAACAAAAGCCACCACAGCGCGTGCAAGCATGGTTAAAAGTGTACAGATATTGCATGAATGAACGAATAGAAAGTTAAAAAATCATTCCAGTGTAAAAATAAATAACTTAAAATTCAGGAGGTAATGGACAATGTTGATGTGCTTGCGTTATTGGCCAGATAAATTAAGACAATTGTCAATGCTGATTATAAATGTATTCTTGTTTACTCAATTACTCAAATGAGCCACGAAATTTGGAATTATACGTATTTATTTTTAAAGCGTGCCGCATTAAGTCACATGTTATTGATGCATGATATCCATAAATAGTATTGAGCAAAGGCTACATGATACAAAAACTACATAATCTGAATATTTTTCGAATTTGTTTCTTGTGCCACAGCATCTTTGAAACCAACAGCGCATCTATGCTTGTAACATATCCAAAAGTGTGTGTTTGATCTTGTGGAATCGAGATGTAATCAAGAGATGTCTTCGGGCAAACTCATGGATTCTTTAACAACTTAAACTTATGATTTCCAAATCTTTGATGTGACAAGGTAAATTATTAATTTTACATAATTTTTATTTTTATTTTTATTTAGACGATGCATAATTTTACATCTAATTAAAATAAGATAATCCCGCCTATTTCTACGCACTTATGATTTTTTATTAAAATTTTTAATATTAAACATATAGCAAATAATATATTTAATTATACAGTGGCGACCAAAAGTAATGACTCAGGGGCTAAATTTACTAATAAAACATAGTGAAAATTAAAATTTTCTCTATATAAAAATTTATAATTTTAATAAGAAATAATTTTTATTTTTATATTAAAATAAAGTTTATTAGTTGTAGCTTAACATATATTTTTTTCAGATTTTTTAGATTTTTTCTGAAAGAGTTGTTCTAATTGTAAAGTTAGTGTAAAAATTTTTATTAATTAAATTTCATTTTTAATTAGTAAAAATTTTTGCATTAACTTTACAATTAGAGCAACTCTTTCAGAAAAAATCTAAAAAATCTGAAAAAAATATATGTTAAGCTACAACTAATAAACTTTATTTTAACATAAAAATAAAAATTATTTCTTATTAAAATTATAAATTTTTATATAGAGAGAAAATTTCAATTTTATTAATAAATTTAGCTCCTGAGTCATTATTTTTGGTCACTACTGTAATATATTAATTAAAATTTTATGAAACTATCATATAAAAAAATAATTTTAATTATATTTTTAATTATACAATAAAAATTAATTACACTTTTAATTCAAATTTATAAAAGATATTACTTAAATATTTATTATTTTTTTATACTTAATATATAATTAGCAATAAAAAATTTATCAAATTAAATAAAATTAATAAAAAAATAATTATTATTTACAGTGATGACCAAAAGTAATGACTCAGAGACTAAATTTACTAATAAAACATAGTGAAAATTAAAATTTTCTCTATATTTTATTAGTAAATTTAGATCCTGAGTCATTACTTTTGATCATCATTATATATACTAAAAAATAACATATATATTAATATTTAAGTATTTTTTAAGATTAATATATAAGTTTTTAAGATTAATATATAATTTTTTTAAATTTTTTCTAAAGAATTATTTTAATTATAAAATTAGTATAAAAATTTTTATTAATTAAAAATAATATTTAATTTATAAAAATATTTATATTAATTTTATAATTTAAATAACTCTTTTAGAAAAAATCTAAAAAATCTGAAATTAAATTATAAAATATTTTTAATACAATAATTCTTTAATATAACAAAATTTAATTAAAATTATAATATATAAACTTAAATTCAGAAATAATTTATTATAAATTATATAATAATTCTACTTAATATAATATATAATAAAATTTTTGAAAGTTTTATATATAAATCTAATTACTTTATTATATTAAGAATAACTTTATATAATTTATAAGTTTTATTTTAATATAAAAATAAAAATTATTTCTTAATAAAATCATAAAGTTAATATAAAGAAAAAATTTAAGTTTTATTATATTTTATTAATAAAATTAATATAATTAAAAGTTATTATAAATTTAATAAAAATTATTAAACTAATATTAAAAATTACAAAAAATATTTATTTTTATAAAATTTTTATTATAAATATAAATTAATAAGATAAAATATTATTTAATATATAAATATTTATTTTATAAATAATTTATTATTAAGATTATTTATAATATATAAGATTAATATATTTATAAAAAATATTTAATATTTTAAATATAGTTAATAATAAAAAATTTTTAAATTTATTATAATAAAATATTATTTAAAAAATATAAACTTTTTATAATTATATTAATATTTATTATAAAAATTTATTTAAAATTATTTATTAAATAATATTAATATTATTATTTAATTAACTTTTTAAGTTAATAAAATTAATTTTAAAAAATAATATTATTATAAAATTTACTAATTAAAATTAATAAAAATAAAATATAAAAAAATATATAAATAAAATTTATTTATAAATATTTAAAATTATTAAATTAATATTAATAAAAAATAAATTAAATATTAATATTTATAAAATATAAATCTTTAATTATATATTATAAAATAAAATTTAAAAAAATTATTATATAATAAAAAATTATTTTAAATAAATTTAATTAATATTATTATTTATTAAAAGTATAATAATAAAATAATTTTATAATTATATAATTATAATTATATTTAATTATAATTATTAAAAAAATAATATATATTTTAATATCTAATATAATTAAAAATTTTTATTTTAATATTATTAACTTAACAAAATATAAAAGAATATATTTATTATAATTCTTAAATATCTTGCTAATAATATAAAACATTCTTTTATATATATTTTAAACTAAAAAATATCTTATATAAAAGTTTTTTTTAATATATTATTATTTAGATTAATAAAAAAAATAATATAATAAATAAGAGATAAATTATTAAATTAATATTATTTAAATTAATATAATAAAATAAAAAATTCAAAATTTTTCTTGTTTTAAATTTATTTCAAGATTATTTAATTAAATTAATTAAATAAAATTTTATAAAAAATAATATTTAACTTATAATTATTCTAGATAAATTAATAATAAACTTTACTTATTAGATATTAATTATTATAAAATTTTTAAATAAATAAATATAAAATTATTATATTAAATAATTAATTAATGAAATTCATTAATTAATTTTAATTAAATATATTTAAATTATTATATATAATAGTTATATAATAAATTAAAAAATTATAAAATAATATTAATTATAACTTAATTAAAAAAATATTTAATATTATACTATTTTAATAATAAATAAAATAAAAGATAATTAATTTTTAATTATAAAGATTTAGTAAAAGAAAATAATAAAGAAATTTTAATAATTAATTCAATTAATAAAAAGATATATAATAAAATAGAAGATTATGAAAATAAGTAAAGAATAATTAGAAATATTAAATAAATAAAATTTTATTATTTTATCTAAATATTCTTTATAATATAGATATAATTTTTTGAATCATATTATGTAAAGTACTTGAATATAAATTAAAAGTTGAACTTAAAAATCAATATAAGATATAAATTATAGAAAAATATACTAGTTAGCACTTTATAATATTTGAATTTTATTAATTATACATGATTTTTAAATTATATATCATGTACTTATAAAATAATAATAGAGTTTAAAATTGTTTATACATGCAAAATATAAAGAATATACACTTAACATTATGATTTTAACTTGGAATCCAATAAAAAAATATATTTAGAAAGAATATACATTTAGAATGAATATATTTGAGAGAATTCTCTATATATAATATATATAACTATATTTATAATTATTAATATTTTTATTTTTTTATTTATTATTAATTTTTGTAATAATATCAATCTTCTTTTATTTATACTCTTTTATATTAATATCAATTACTTGTTAAACTAAAACTTTATCTAAAAATAAATTAATAATATTTATTAAGCTATTCATTATAAGTGTATTAAAAAGATCTTTCTATTCTTTTAATTTAATATCAATAATAATTTGTTTAGAAGCTATGTTAAAATTTTATCATTCAGTTTTTATCATTCAGAAAGTTTATATATAGAATTAACAAATTCAAATAATATTATATTATTTCGAATTTTGTATTCAACAAAAGCTTTATCCATTCAAAATTGTGAACTTTAATAATAAATTATTAGATTTATCAAGATATTCCGATAAATTGATGAAAAACATAATTATCTAATAATTTATTAATTGTTAAAAATTTTGCATGAAGATTTATTTGCATATTATTAAATAAAAAAACTTAATATTTGACTTGATACTGATATTTGTCTGATAATTGATTTTTGATGAGATTGGTTCATAAATATTGTCTAAATTATATTTGTAATCTATGTATATATATATAATATATTATATTTTAAGTTCAACTTATCATTTTGCATAAAATAATCTTTTTTTGATATTTTTGTATTGTTTTTTCACTATATATGTATATATCTAAAATAATTACTTGATTCTCTATATAATTGCATACACTTTTTAATATTTCTGAACTTTTTTTCAAGAACATAAGAACATCCATTTAATTCCATACAAATTTAAACATATTGCATATTTATTAGATTCGTTTGACTTTTCATCAAGTACTTCAATATAAGAAGTTAACTGATGACGACGTGCTATTATTTAATAAAATCAAAAAGCGTTTTTTCAAAACCACAATGAGGTTTTCCCGTGTCCTTGCGTATTTACATGTGACTCAATATTGATATTTACACGTGATTGAACTATTGCACCAATTACATGTACTTAAATCCAATAATTTAGGAGTCCAGTGGACTGGACTAGTTGAATGACAATACGGAATGTGGGTAACGATAATACAAAATTTTTCGAAATTTTCGTATGAAACTCGAGCAGCAAAATACCGGCGCGACCGAGTCGAAATTTTGTTTGCTCAAGTCAACGATAATGTGAATTACTTTGCATTTTATTACCAAAATTTATAATAGGTGTAAAGAAAATCCGCCACATGTATGTACCATGGTTATATTAGCATTCCCTGCTAAAACTTTTATACAAATAATATTTTATTTGTAAAACCAAAGTACATATCCAGTAATAATACCGTAATTCTCGGCAAATAATACCCCGGCCTCTTACATTAAGGGTGTACTTTATCAAGAGGATACTAGTTGCTGAGAATTGGTAATTATATATAAGATAACGGCAATTACAAAAAACAAACGCACGTAAAATCAATACGTGATCCAAAATTAAATAAATAATTATCGTTATTATAATTGAATTAAAGATATGTAATAAATTAAGAATTTTTGTGTTGATATGAATAAGAACCGAAAGAACCGAACCATTAAGATTCTTGCTGGATTATGTCATTGCTGCTACTGCTATTTCTTAAGGATAATAAAGTTGTTATGATTGTTGTTAGAATTGCTCAACATGGTTAATATGTATAACTATCGTTACTATTGCTGGTGCTGGTGATCTTGATTATTGTCGTTGCCATTTGTGAGTATATTCTCACCACCATCGTTAAAATAACTAAAAATTTGTCGTCCATTTTCAATTTTCGTAATCGTATCTTTTTGTTCAGCGATTTTAACGTCTTTCTCAGCGATTATATTGTCTTTCCGAGCAATAGTTTTGCCTCTCTGAGCAATTGTTTCGTTTTTCTGAACAATTGTTTCGTTTTCTGAGCAATTATATTATCTTTCTGAGCAATTATTTCGTCTTTCTGTTCAATTATTTTTTTCCTTTCAGTTAAGGTATTGGATAAATTTCTGCATCTCAGATTACAATCCGACAATTGTGATTTTAATGTTTCATTTTCTTCTTTTAAAGCTTCGTAATCTGATCTTAAGTTTTCGTAATTTGATCTTACTGTTTCGATTTCTTCTCTTCTATGTCTTCTGTCTGTCCTGGCTGAAATAAATATAATAAGACATATTAGAATTATCCCGTACATCTTTTGGCAGTAACGGATTCAGAAAATACTCGTGGCATTTGTCACTCAATAATTATTTTTTTTAGACGAAAAATAGTTTTACGAACAAAAAGAACATTTATTTAACAAGGAGTGTGTTAGAGAAGTGTTTAAGAACGGAAATAAATCATGCGTAGAAGAATATGAAGAATTATAAAACATACGATGAAAAAATGAAATAATTTATTGAACTCTATCTTAAACAACAAGAAAAAGCAATAGAGAACGAACAAAGTGTAAATTAAAAACCAACTATCATTTAAATGAATGCATACTCGAATCTCCTATCATAGTATAAGCGATTTTTTTGTGTTAGAGTGTCGAGCACATATCAATATGTAACTAAAATATAACGTTAGCCATTGGGGATGTTTCACTAACATTAATCAGTAAAGTTTTCCATTCGGACAGTATTAATAAACTCTAATTCAGTCTGATTGCAAAAATTTTACTGCATTTGTGAGGTTCCCTAGAACCTGACAAAAATCATTTTATTTACCTCGAACTAAAACGGTAATATAATGAGTATAGAAATACCATTTTTTAAAGTTTGAATATCTGAAAATTGGATAATGGATATGTGTATTTCCCTTTGTTTTTGTCAGAATAACTTACAGAAAAACCACATTTGCCTTGTTTTGAATAGAGTTAACCAATATAATTTCACAAAAGCAAATTATAAAGAGCTCTTGTTCAAAACTGAAAAGCTAACGGGAAGCAATCTATAAAGTTAATTACACTACTTATACAGTATATTTCTCTACACTCATTGTTGATTTTCCTTATAAGATCTTTATGTATTCTGTATTCATAACGATAAGCGAATACTGAAAACAATTACGCAATGTCTGCTTTCAATCTTTTACAAGATAACGATAACCAAAAATTGTAAAAATAATTGATCTCACCGATAATTAAAATACAACTTTTTTATTGTTTATGAATAAATCACAATTGACGACATAACAATCAGAAAATTAAATATCTTCTAAACACGTTTATCTTGCACTCGCACTCCTCTTCGATTCTTTTTATGCTATCAGATTTGAAGATTTGAAATAAAAAAACTTTTTGTTACTCCCAAATATCAATAAGAAAATAATGTGTCGCAGCCATAAATAATATAGATGACATTAGTCAACCATCTGTTAGTATTACAATGTATAATCTTTTATTTCTATATTATTAATCAATTACTAAACATCTTCCAGAAGTATTATCTATGTTATTTATTTATTAATAATTTGTATAATTCTAAATTATTATTTAAAGATGCTCTATTCTGTTCATATAATCTAATTTTTATTTATCATTAATAAAATAAATCTTTTAAATTATAAAATTGAAATAAAATCTGTTTATTTTTGAATTTAGATTCTGTGTTGGTCCCTGGACCAGTCCAAACATGTTTGTTCAAATCTAAATAATTAAATTACTAAAAGAGCCAACCCTGAATATAAATATATTTTTGCTAAATTTTAAATATTTATAACAAAAAGATTATATTTAAAAGTATTAATAATGTAAAAATCTTAATTTAGTTATAAATATTATTAAGTCTTAAATACTTATACTAAATCAAAAAATAATCTTATTTTTTAATTATAGTAACTTAAAGCAAATGCAATAGCCTGAAAATAAAAATTATATGTTTTTAAATAATAAAAAAGAAGATAATAATGATAAAATATAAAGAAAGAAAGAAGCAGAAGAAGAAGAATAATAATAATAATAATACTTATCAAAAATAATAAATCTTTTATAACTTTTTATAAATTATATATAATATATAATTTGAAGTAAAAAGATTTATATATCAATATAAAATTAATAATTACTTCTAATAAAAATTATTCAAATTTTAACTAATCTTTATAATTTTTTATATTAAATAAAAAATAATCTAAATTAACTTTTTATATACTATTTTAATTATTTTATTATACTTTAATTTAATAATTATAAATTATTATTTTATTAAAAAAAACTAAAATAAAATTATTTTTTTAAAAAAAAAGATATTTTAAATATTATAACTATTAATTACAAGATTAAAACTTTAAATTATGCAAGCAAGTTGTTCTAGATTTGATAAATATATGTTCTAAATTTTATAAAAATTGAATCAGTAGTTATAAAGATATTAAGATACAAAATTTAATAATTAAATTATTTATTATATAATTTTTATGTTAATTTTAATCAAATTTTATATAATCAAATTTAAGAAATAACAATTCAAAAAAGTTTATATTAATAAAATTTTTTTATAAAAGATATATAATAAAAATTTTTATATTTAAATAAATTTCAATATTTAATAACTTAATTAAATAAGATGAAATTAAAATTTTATTTTAAAAAAATAATCTATTAATATTTATCTAATATATAATCTTTTTATATCAAACTATATTAAAAATTTTTAAAATATAAAAATAATATAAATACTAATTATTTATATCTTTATAAATTAATAAACTTCTATATTAGATATTAAATATTAATATTAATTACTTTATAATATATGTTTTGGTATTTAATAATTCAATTCTTAATATTTAGTAATTAATTTTAAACAAAATTTGATTATTTGATTTATTAATCAAAATGAATATTTTTGTATTAGATATCAAGATATTATATTTTAAAGTAATTAATTAAATTTTTTTTAACATTAACAAAAATAAATCAGTTATTTTAGAATGTAATATCTCAATATCTGATAATTAACTTCAAACAAAAATATTATTATTTAATTTATTTCAATTAGATGAATTGAAGAATAATATTTTTGTTTAAAACTAATTATCAGATATTGAAATATTGCATTTTAAAGTAACTGAATTATTTTTTGATAATTAATTTCTAATGATCAACAAAAATAAAGCACTATAATATCTTGATATTTAATAATTCAATTTAGTAAATATATTATCATTTGATTATTTTAATAAGACATTTGAATGACAGAATATTATTTGAATTATATTACTAAATATCAAGATATTATAACATAAAATGATAATACATTTTATTTATTATATAAATATTTGATAAATATACAATGTCCAATATAACCTATAAAGATATAAATGATCAGTATTTGCACTGTCTTTGTGTTCAGAAAACTTCGATACATTACACATGATCTATGAAAAGTTATGAAGGATAGGTCACCTTTGACAAACACTGTTATAATAATAATAATAATAATAATAATAATAATAAGAAGAAGAAGAAGAAGAAGAAGAAGAAGAAGAAGAAGAAGAAGAAGAAGAATAATAATAATAATAATAATAATAATAATAATAATAATAATAATAATAATAATAATAATAATAATGAGAATTACAGTATATATAGGTTATAAATGCTTTTTAAATTAATTATAATTTTAAATAAACATAATAAATCATTATGATTAAAAGACCCGCTCTATCACAATTTTAATATTTTATAACCTGTGAATTACACCCAGGTACAAATTACTGTAAGAAGGGTCTACATGGGGAGTGGTGACGGCTAATTACAATACTCGATTATCATTTTTGGGATAGTTCGACTTGATCAAACTATATTCAGTCCGATGACGATTAGTAGATTTATAGTTTATTGCGCAGTATATGTATTTGTTGTGCAAATAATAAAAGGCTTTTACAGTGAAAATTAGGGGGGTGAGTTTCTTCAAAAATCAAACCAAATTTTGAATTTGTAACTTTTAAAAACTGATTTAATGTTTCATAATTAATCAAAATTAATTTTAAGTAAGACATTCCTTCAATTCAGATAACCAGCGTCGATAGACGTGATTTCTCTTTTTCCAGTTTTTCCATAAGACCACCCAATGAAATCCGTAGTTGTTTTATCGTTTCGGACGAAAACATTTGCTATTAATTTTGCAGTTGGAACCTATCCAAAAAAAAATGTATTAAAAAATTTTGCAGAATAATTAAAAAATATCTTCGTTATTCTTAAATTTAGATGATCACAATAAGACATTCTAGCGTGCTTGGTTCGATGTGGTTTTCGCCACCTAAATCAGGTTTAGATAAAACCATACCGAGCTTACCCATCTCTATGGTTGGAACAAACCAAACCGAACTCCTCTTTCGTCTGTGTAAAAAATAAAATACTTTTTGTTAACGTAAATATGCATTCACGACCTAAACTATCGATTAGTTGATTTATAATCGACTAATTAACCAATCAATCGATTGTCGTACATTTACAGCACAAACATGTTTATAACGTATAAGGAAAATAGACAATGAGACAATGAGAAATAAAAAAGGTAAGATTTGTATGATATTGCAAACATATATATATATAATTTCTGTTTCCGCACTACTTTGACAAGAGCTCTCTAAAAATTATCTTCTGAAGTATATTGGATAACACTGTTCAAAACAAGACAAATGTAGTTTTCTTATTACATTGTGACAAAAAACGAGGGAAATACATCTATCCATTTTTTCAAAATTCAAACTTTGAAAATTATATTTCTCTTATTATTATATTCATTTATATTAATTTCAATACTTTCAAAATTGATTTTCTAGAAAGATACTTTATCGTTTTAGTTTCTGTTATTCAACTCCAGGGAAATTTTCCAATCAGACTGGATTAGAGTTTATTAATCCAAATCAGAATGGACTGTGACATTCATTAAACATTTTAATTGGTTACAAGAGTAACTAAAAAAAGAATCGCGCATTCATTCATACATGCATACATGAATGCATTGTCGTTCACATGTCGATATATGCTAGAAACTAAACGAAAAAAATTGATCCATTATCGACATGAAAGCGAATTTTTTTCAATTATCCACGGCTTTATACGTTTATGGATTTATTTAAACATAGTTTTTTTTTTACTCTAGTGCTTTTTTCTTTCCGTTTGCTCTTCACTTTAGGAGAGTAAACGTAGACAGTGTTCAAAAATTATTTCATCTTCTTATCGTCCTTTACATTCTATATAAAACTTATTTTTCGTCTTATACAATACTATTATTAAATGCTCTCTTGTTCATAATAAATTATTTTTCATCTAAAAAAATAATTATAACAAATGCCAAAGGAACCAGCTATCACAAAACAGGCCATAAATTGTAGGTTTACATTCAATTCAGTTTATAGTTTACTTGAGATAATTCTAATATTTCTTATTTATTTCAGCCAGGAAAGCAAGAGCAGCCAAAAAAGAAAAAGACGAAAAATTAAAATCTGAAAACGAAATATTAAAATCAGAAATTGAAAAATTAAAATTAGAAAACGAAACGTTAAAGTCGCAACTGTCGGATTGTAACCGGAGATGCAAAAATTTATCCGATATCTTAACTGAAAAAGAGAGTACAATCGCTCAGAAAGATCATACAATTGCTCAAAAAGACAATATAATTGAACAGAAAGACAATATAATTGCTGAGAAAAACGATAAAATTGCTGAGCAAAAAAAGACGATTGACTACGATTATAAACACTTCGTCAGCCCACCAACGCAAAGTGATCTTCGTCCACATGGATTTCATTATCGAGAGGGGAATATAACCGGCAATGATAATAACCAACCAACGCCAAATGATGTTCGTTCCTATGAACATCATTATTCAGAGGGTTCGACGAATATAATCCCTCCATACACTGCGGATCTTGGACTTGTTCACAGTAGCAGCAGCAATAACTTAAATAATAACCAACCAACGCCAAATGATCATCCAAATAAATACATTCATTCAGTGCTGCCGAAGATAATGAATAATTTTGAACCTATTCGCAGCAGCAATATAATCGGTAATGAAATTCGTACACCACAAACCGTTACCCTTACAGACTTAGAAATTGTTCACAGTGATAACAACAACTAGCGAGGATGGTTCTTAACAACCACAACGATTTTTAATTTATTACATTTCATTTACAATATAACGATTTACGTTCATTCCACGAATTTTTCAACTTGCTGAATTAATGTATCTACAAGACGAAAAGGGTCGTCTTCACCTGGGCAAAAATCGAGGCCAATACAGTTGGGCCAGAAAACCTAGTTCTTATAGAGATGTATGACTGTATATGTGTGATAATATGGGATAATAGGGATAATATGTAATATGTTGTAATATTATTAATATGTAATATTATAGGGTAATATGGTTCAAAATTCACTAATAACTAGGGATGCCTTTTCATTTATCAAATAAACGTTTTGAGGATTAGTCAATTGGCCATCTTAGAAACGAGGAACAAAGTTGGGAACCATCCATGACTAGTATCCTCGTCAATTGGTGTAATGTTAAAAAGCTCCGGTTTTGAGTTGAGCTGCTCGAGTTCGAACTTAATAGTCACATGATTAACAAAAACGTGATTTTTCCTTTATCAATCAAATTAAATAAATAAGTCGATAGAATAAACACGGGGTGATAATTTAATCAATGATATAAATATTGCACCAGTCCGTATGAAAAGTAATGGTGGACAGTTTTTTAGAAATGAACAAAATCTAGAATAATAATCATATATACAAATTCATTTTTAGAATGCTTATAAATAGCGCTTCATATCCTTAAAACATTTGCATTTGACATGCATTCTTTCTGTATCAATGCCAATTTGAAATGCAATTTGGCATAAGAATGATATTCCTAAGAACTATCTTCTCAAAAATATATCTTTTAATATCTTTTGCAACATATTCAGCTTTTGTTATATCATTATCTTAGCTCTTTTTTCATGTTTTCAATTGAAAAATAATCATTTATTATGTATAAAATTGAGATTTAGACTTTATTAAAATTATAGCAAAATGCATATTGCACAAATATTTCATAAACTTTTTTAAAAGAGGCTTTATATGAATAATTAAAAAGCAAATTGAATAGCTAAATAAAATAATTGGCCTATGAAGAAAATTATTATTCTAATTAGAAAAAATAATCAAGATCTCACTGAATGACTAAAAGACTTTAATTAACTATTCAAGTTAATAGAATAATAGCTGCTAGAAAAGTATAACTTATCCAAGAATATCTAGAAAATACTGCTATCTTGTGATATGATGAAAAAAACAGAGATAATATCACTTCATTAATAGCTTGAAATGATAATAATAATCAATCATATAGCTTCTGTTATCAATTTACTATTTACTTTCACACTAGAGAAAGAATTGATTAATGATAAGATAAAATTAAAATCTTGTAATAAATCAGTATTATAGATAAATATACAGATAAATTTATTAATCTATTTTATAAAGTGGATCCTGATAAAATATATTCAAAAGATTATAAAATCAGAGTCTATATATAAGATCTAATACAAATATCCACTAATAAAACTTTTCTAAATATAATACAAGTTATCAAAAATATGAAAAAACTGATATAAATATCTTATTCAAGAATATTATTAATTACAAATCCAGGATAATTTAATATTGAATACTATTTTAATAATACTTCAAGATCTTAATTAATAAATAAAAAGTATAAAAACTAATAAAAGATCAAATTATAATGGAAATAACTCTGATTATTAGTTTAATAATTAAAATTCTAAATCAATTTCTATATATTATAATTATGATAAGTCAGATCATATTTATCTATACTATTCTTAGTTATAGTCATATAAAAATAATCAGAATAACTTTAGAAATTTTTGTTAAAGAATAAATAAAAATAATTAATAATAAAATAATATATTATTAATTAGTCAAATTTTAAAAATAATCAAAATATGAATAATACTTAAATAATATTATTAGCTCAAATATAAGCTCTTATAAATAGTATTTAGATATTAATTATCAAATCAAATAATATAAATTTATTATTTAGAATATATTGATACTTGACTACTGATAGGAAAATCAGAAATTCAAGAGCTATTTTATATAAAAATAACTTATAGATTAATTTTAAAAAGAAGTTATTAAAGATAATGAAGAATTAAATATATTTAAAGAAGAAAATATAATAATGCTTCTTAAAATATACTAATCAAGATATAAATAATACTAAATCTTTTAAAACTCTTAATTAAGAACTTAATAAGAAAATTATTTGTAAAAAGAAAAGCAAAATTATTTTATTTATACTTATTATAATTAAAATTTATAATATACTAAAAGATTTAGCTTAATAAAAAACAAATATAATAGTTATTTAGCTTATTTAGATCTTATATTCTTAAAAAACTTAATTATTAAAAAATATACATTAAGTTACAATATTCAAGTCTAAAAGCAAAAGAAGAATAATACTTAAATAAAAACTTAAAATTATATCTGTCTGATATAAAGTCAAATTTAAAAAGAATATAATAGATTTAATAATTGATACTAATATCTTTGAATATATTACTACATATAATTTTATAAAAGATATAGAATTAAAAATTCAATATAATTCAAATATATCTATATCTAATATAAATAAAATATTAAAATAATCTCTTGAAATTATTAATAATTTATTTTTAAATATTAATAGAATCATAATTTCAATTAAAGTAGATATTAATAAAATCAAAATATACTTAGTAATTATAAAAATAAACTTTTTAAATAAAATTAAAGTTGATATTAATATTAGAAAAAGACTTCTTATCTTTGAATATAATAATTAAAAAGAAAAAGTACTAATTAAATTTATTCATAATAATAGAGAAAACTTTATATTTGATAATTTAAGTTCTAAAGAAGATGAATTAGAAGAAGATTCTGAAAGTAAATTTGAAGAATTACACTTGAAAAAGAAAATATTTCTCATGATGATTAGAATATTATAATCTCTAGATAATAAGAAATTCAAGATAATGATAATATTAAAATTATTACTAAAGAAATTTAAATACCTGTTGAAACTTTTAATCAAAATTTGAGAGATATTGATTTTGAAGATATATCTTTTTAAATTATTTAAAGTATCAAAAGAATTTATAAAATATAAGTTTATCAAGAAAAAATTAAAATTAGATAAAAGATGTAACCTTTCTGTTATGTAAGATAATATATCAAGATAATTCACACAGAAAAATCAAGATAATATTATATTAAGAAAGTTCACACAGAAGATTCAAGATATAAGTGATATTATTTGAAATAGAATTCACACAGAAAACTAAATCAAAAACAAACAAGAGATTATGTTTAAAACTTATTCTTTATTTATTATTAACTTGTTGTTATTTTAAATTACAGAACAGATACAATGTCTTTAAATAATAAATTAATATTATATAAAATTAATAATAAGATAAATAAATTAATAATAGAAAATACTTATATGAT